ATTCATAATGCGTGACCAAAACCGAAAGTTTCTGTGATGAATGCCTTTGTACTGTTCACCATGTAAGAATTTATTCACTATGTAAGAATTCGTTCACCATGGAAGAACTTGTTCGTTATGCTTCAGAAGATTGGAGACTGACGAGAATTAGGCTTGAGATGGATTAATGATTATGCATTGAGCATTGACCCCCCTATACAGAATTTTATTGTTGTTAACAACCATTTGATCAATAAATATGAGAGATGCCTCTCAAAAAAAAAAAGAATTTCAAAATGCTATAATTTACTGTTGTACTTCATGTTTATATCATTGTTACTTTATTGAAAGCTCTTATTGAACATATATTCATTTATTTGCAGATTTCTGCCAAAATTCTGATCACTCAGTTTCAAATAGTTTTTAGAGAGAATTATTGTGAAAATGTACACAAAGCAGTTTGTTTGAAAAAGTTAAGACTAAATATAAGACTGCAAACCATTTTTGTGTATTTATGCCATTTTTCATATAATTACACATGAAGAATAGCAATTCAGAATGTTTTTATAGTCAGTGATGGGAGGGATCTCTTTTCACAGCTGATGAGAATAAACCATACTTTTGACTGAAAAAAAAAAAAGTAGTACCAACTGTTAATAAATCTAAAGCCTTGACCAGTCAGGGCTAGGAGGGGTACATTATCTGAGGGCAGGAGGACAGGAAAAGAAAGACTCCTTGATTTCTGAACCCCTCCTTAAGTTTACTCTGGGCTTGCTGGCATTTCACGGGGCATTTTCCCCTTGAATGCAGTCCCTGTGTTTGACTTTGTGCCTTCCCTGTGGGACCTCACCTCCGCAGGGGCAGACAGTACATGTGTGGCAGCAGTGATCCACTCCACAGGCTGGAGGTCAAAGGTCACCCCTTGCTGACCAAGCTGTCCCAACAGACAGGCTGCTGCACTCTGTGGAGAGTTAGAGGAGAGAGAATGTCTGAATCTGAATGATATTCGGGGCAGGCGGAGAGGATTTAGTCTCCGTCCTAGTCCAGGAGGACGCCTCATAAAAGTTGCAAATAGGAGAGTGACTCCCCTGCTCCCACAAAAGTTGACTGACAGGTTGAAATGGGGAGTAAGTTGAAAGATGGAAACTCACCACAAGAGAAACGATGTGTGAATGGGTGAAGAGAGTGGCAATCTCACTGCCTCGCTTCTCCATTCTGAAAAGACGAGATCCACCAAGGGATGCAGAAGCGTGAAAGGAAGATGGTGAGTAGCCTTCCCTCTCTACACAGGCTGCAGGTCTACCTCCAGGCCACAAAGTTGGTGAGAATCTAGGTTCTTTGTAAAGCAAACTTCAACCTCTCTATCCCAATCCCTCCTAAGAACAAGCTGTAGGGTGCCACTTGCCAGGTTTCATGTCAGGGTGAGCTATATGGGTGGCAGAGTTCTTACATGACTCACCCAGAGGGCAGATCTTGGAGCTGGAGGACAAGAAGGAAGAGGAGGTAGAGCGCCACTTCAGCGGACTCTTCCCTATCCACCACCTCCACCTACAGAGGAAGCCCGAGATATCAAAGCAACCTCTGACTGAGATGGTGGCGCCACCATGAGATGCTTGCCTGTGTTGCTGGCCTACCTTGCCCTGGACCAACATCAACAGCGACTCGAAAGCCAGGGGCTCCTGCCCTAGCAGATGGCACAGGCACTCACTGACTCGGCAGCAGGAGTAGAGAACCTAAGGGAGGGGGAAGGAGTCTGTGAGAGAGGCAGAGCAGCCCTGGGGCTCCCAGACTGGAAGCCTCAGCTGAAAAGCAGGCTAGCCTCTCAACAGATCTGGTACCCACACTTGGGGGTGTTGAGAGTTCAGGCCACTTGCACTTAATGCTGTAAAGATAATGAGATAGAGACACTTGAAAGTTCCAGGGAGGACTGGCTAACAGTGAGGCCGTCTCAACTGGAGAGATTTAAAAGCAAACAGGGGTCATCCAAAAGGGTCTTTCAACTCTCTCAGTCTCTCTCTCTCTCTGTCCTGGGGGTTAAAAAGAAAGCTGAAGTGCCAAGAGTTCCAGGCAGGCAGTACCTTGAGAAGGTGTAGGCACAGGCTGGGATGCTGTAAGCCAGAGATGAGGGATGGCCTCAGAGGGCTGCTATCTTCAGAGAGCAGATTTGCCAAATGCCGAGAGATCTAGAGGGACATACCTGAAGGCTCAATCCCCTTCCCAATTATTCCAATCCTATTCCTCTCATATCTCCAGTTAATCAGGACTCTCAACCCCTCACTAGCCACTCTTCCCTGGGTTCACCGGGAACCTCAGACCCCACTGCATTCCCAGTCTTCACTGTCAATGCAGAACCAAGAATCACGGCCTAGTTTAACCCAGTGTAGCGAAGTGTTGCTGGCCAAAAGGGAGCAGATAATCTAAATTCTGAGCCCTTGAGGAAGCATCACTGGTGGCTGCAGATTAGCTACCCTACCACATGGGCAGTTTGTCACTTAGCTCTGTAACCAGCTGGCCAAAGGCTCTGGGAGTTTGGCTACATCATATTCTACAAGCAGCCCAGACCCAGGGTGGAAGCATCTGTTTCTCCAAGAACTGAGAAAGGGGAGGCAGAAAAGCTTATTTTTCTACATTTCTGAGAAGCTCTAGCAGTAGGGATGAGGGAACCAAGAAACTGCAGCTCATACCTGCTCCTTGGCTTCCCAGCAGGCAGGCAGTCCCACAGGAACAGTGCATATGGCTGCCAGCGCAGAGGAAACAGCTTCCGGCAGATCCTTACTCTGCTCCCTAGGTGGCTGGCTCACTTGCAGGGCTTCTATGGAGAAAGGCAAAGAATGCAGGGTGGGATCCAGTTGTTCCCTCAGATCCCCATTCATTTTTTTCTGTTCTTTATGAGCACTCACTAAATGCCAGGCAGTATTCTAGGCGATGGCAGTAGAATGGCCAGTGCTGGACCTACTCAACAAGTCAAGAGACTCTCCCCTCCCCTTTGCTTACCTGGGGGTGTGTGGAAAGGGAGCTGCAGAATTGTCAAGCCATGAAGGAGCCCGTCCAACACAGCCTGCTGTGTTGTTAGCAGACTGGAGTAAAAGGCTTTGGAGATGGACCAGCTGTTCCCATCCATGGTTTCACACAGAACAGTAAAGCACTAAGGGAGACAAGGGCAAGGTTAACAGTAGGGCACTGGAACACTGACTGCACTTTGGGTAAGCAGCAAGAATCCCCAGAGAACCTGAGAAAAGAGAAAAACCCAGAGGGGCCAGACATGTAAATTCTAAATGTTCCTTGAACAGGAAATACATTATATTGGTTCATTCAAAGATGGAAATTTTAGGTGTCAATCCTTCTATTCTCTGATCAACTACTCTCCAAATGATGTTTTTCAAAGTGTTACCTGCTGACCATGAATATAAAAATTCCTGGTGATTCATGGGTCCCTCTCAATCCAATCCACTGATTCGGAATTTCAGGAGATGGGGTATTTACTCCAAGCTCCCCATGCTACTCGCTGCACAGTGACATATGAGAAGTGCTGGCCAAAATATAAGTTAGACATTAAAAGCTTTCTGACTTAAAGGCGTAAGGGATGTTAAAATAGGCTCTCAGACCAGAAAAGTTTGAATGGACTACTAGCTGGAGGCAAGAATGTAGCCCAGACCTGTGTTCCCAACTATCAGTTTGAGCAGTGACCAGGCAATTGTTTACTTCCTTGCACAAGTTCCTCTCTAAGTGTCTCCTCTGAGATCAGTCAGAATTCAACTGTGTTCTTATTCAATCTTCCATTCTCTTGTCCCTCACTCCTCAAGAGCCCGGAGGAGAAAACCCACATAATTTACTAGTCTGTAGGACAAACAAGGTTGGGAAATACTAGCTGATGTGCAAGCCTCTTCAAGAAGAAATACTTCTACTGGTGGTTCCCTGAAATAGACCACATTGCTTAATGCCTCTGGGCCTTTACATACATTGTTTTTTCTGCCTGGAATGTCTTCCCTAATTTCCTATCTTATTGACCTGGCAAACTTCTATGCATTCTTCAAATGCTAGCAGAGATGATTTCCTTTATGATCCTCCAAGTAGCATTAATCATATCTTCTTCAGTGGTGCTTCTGCATTTTATACAAGTTCTAATATACTTTTCACCCAGTTGCCCTTGAGCACTTTTTGTCTCTCCTATTAGACTATTCTCTAGGCCCTTCAGGACTGGGACTTTCTCTTACTCATGTGGGATACGGCACATAGTCGGCATTCAACAAATGTTTGTTGTACTACTTTGCTCTAATCCTATACAGTTAAGAAAGGGGAAAGGAGGAACACAGGGAAAGACAGCAGAGACAGAACTCTGGAAGTGTGGAGCCTGATTACCATAAGGCTGTCCCTCCGAAAAGCCTGCTCAGAGTCATCTGGTTGGGCCAACAGTTTCCCCAACAGGTCCAGAAAGAGGTTGGCAGCCTCCTGAAACACCTGTAGGCTGGGAAAACATGAGCCATGATCTCTTGTCATCTCTCTACTACAAGACCAGATGTGGTGAATGGGTCAGTTCTGGGTAGGGAGGAAAATCTGCAAAGGAACACCAGAACATTCCATCCCATCTTCCCCACTAAACATGCTGTCTTCTATATACACCCTCCAAGCCCCTTCCTTGCCATCTTTTCTAGGTTATTCACATCTTGACCCTTTCATTTAGTGTACGGTGATTGCTGACCCTAAAATCTGGAAGTCTTGGGGCAAACTTTGAGATGTCTCACAGTCGTTAAGAGAACTAGCTGGACTGTAAGGGGTCAGTCAGCTGATCCCTAAACCTGTCATAAATCTCCACTTCTCCTTACTTAACCTCCTCTTAATGGGCTGAGGAAGAATGAAGGTAGAAAAAGAAGCCAAACTGGCCAACGGAACAAAACGGTCCTTTATCCCACCTGTCACCTGTCTGGCTCCTCTCCAGATTGAAGGTGCAAGCAAAGTAGGCCTGAATCACAGCCATCAGGTCCCGTAAGAAAGTTCCATACCAACATTGCTGCCAAGAAAGAGGACAGTGATTAAGGGCAATGCAGGGGACGGGACAAAGAATAGAAAAAGCAGTAAGAAAAGGCATCAGATATCAGCTTACCAAACAGAAAAGGGCAGGGGGAAAAGAACATTTGGACAGAGAGAGTAGAGCTAGAAGTACAAAGTGGCAGCCAATGGGCTATAAATAGCCTGAAATGTGTCTTATTTGGCCTGAACAGCATTTTGAAATTTAGGAGGTTCTGTTTCTCAAAATAGCTCAAATTCTTTTCTAAATTCCTTGAAAACACTTAAGATTAATTCTCATCAGCAGAGTGCAACTTCCAGCTGCCTGCACTGAGGCCCGGGTAAACACTTCTGTATTCTGTCCTCTCAGCTCAGCTGCAGCAGGACATGGCATGGGGAATTAGCGGTTTGGCCCCAAACATACTGAGCCTGAAATCCTAGCTCTTCCACTTAGAGTATGACCAATTAAAAGTCAGTGCCTCATTACGATTAGCATGTATAGTGCGTGGGGGGCACAGGGAGGGTTGTGCAACACAGAGAAGTCAAGTAGTGATTTTACAGCATCTTACTACGCAGATGGACAGTGACTGTAAAGGGGTATGTGGGGGGGACTTGGTGAAGGGGGGAGCCTAGTAAACATAATGTTCTTCATGTAATTGTAGATTAATGATACCAAAAAAAAAAAAAGCCAGTGCCTCCATGTGAATTAGCTAACCTCTGAATTTCAGTACCCTGCTCTACAAAATCAGGTCAACAAAGCCTACCTAGGATTTAACATTTCAAAACACAGTGCTCTAACTATTGAGAAATTGCACAGAAAGTCTAGATTTCCAGCTTCTCTTAGAAAACTGCAAGATGGGCAACACTGAGCCCATATTCCTACAAGGCAACAGTGAAAGAGAGCTGAGGAGACAGTGTCCACTTGAACTGGGCATGAGATCTCCAGTTTATGCCACTAACTGTATAGTCACACTTAGAAAACTTTACTGCCTGGCCTCAGAAGGTGTTGTAGACTTTGTAATGTATAGTCTACTAAGCAGAGAGGAAGAAAGAAAATACAAAGCAGTTGAGCCAAACGGAGATGGCAATTTGAAGAGCACTCTAAAAAGAAATCCCCTTACGTCTTTAGAGGCTGCTGGCATAGTGCTTACCTGCTGGATACTGTTGCTCTCCTGGCTGTGTCTGAGTAGGCTGAGCAGCAGCCCAGGGAGCCCTGCTTCATGGCAGAAGGAATACAAGGCAACAGAGTCACTGCAGCTGGATAGAAGACTACTCAGGATCCGGAGGGCAGGAAGGATGCGGGAAGCACCCTCCAGCACACCTTTCAGGATCTGGGTTTCAAGAGGGAAAGAGATGGCAACATTATCACAGGTAAAAGGAGAATCGGATTGGCAAAGAGGACCAAATGTTCTCCTTCCTTTCTTTGTGAGTCTAAAGCCCAGAGGAGGTGAACAGAAGAATAGAAATAGAGTTACCAGAGAAGAGGAATATAGGTGGTCAGGGCACCTGACTTATAAGAGCCATGACCAAGGGGGAGGTGACCTCCCCTCAGGATGTGTCAGACCCAGTGCCATTGCTGTCTGCTCCCCACCTTCTCCAGCCCTTCACCTTATAAACAAAACACACACACACACACACTTCTGAAAATTAAAAACAATGGACACACAACATTATTCAGCTCCAGACAGACAAAACAATATTATTCTACTCTAGATCAGGGGTTGGCAAACTATGACCTTCAGGCCCAATACAGCCTACCACTTTCTTCTATACAATCTGCAAGTTAAGGACAATATTATATTTCTAAGTGGTTGTTCTTTAAAAGGTTATTCATAACAATTACATCAAGTGGTTTACAATATGCCATTCACTGTTTTAAATCTTTTCACTTAAATGCTCATTTAATCTTTACAATAACCCTGTAAAGTAATACTCATTTTGAGGAAGATGGGACTGAAGTGTCTATATAGGTTACGTAAGTAGTCAATAATTACATAACTGAAGTTCAGCTGGAATTCCATCTCAGGAAATCTTACACTGAAGGCAGAGCTTTTAACTTGCTTCCCTACTGAAAAGTTATCCAGCACTAGGTGGACAATGTGTAAAGCAAAAAAAAGGTGCAAGGTGCCAAAGCAATTCAGTGGGGAAAAGACAGTCTTTTTAACAAATGGTGCTGAGACAATTGTATATGCACATACAAGAAGACAAACTTAGATCCTTACCTCATGTTATACACAAAAATTAACTCAAATGGGTCAAAGATCTAAATGTCAGAGCTAAAACTAGAAAACTCTTAGAAAAACTAAGAGAAAAATCTTCAAGAGTTTGGAGAAGATTTCTTAGATACAAAACCAAAAGCATAATCTGCAAAGGGAAAATTGGTAACTGGACCTCATCAAAATTTGAAACCTCTGTGCTTCAAAAGACACTCTTGTGAGAACAAAAAGACAAATCATAAACTGGGAAAAAATATTTACAAATTATATATCTGATAAAGATCTTGTATCCAGAATACACAAAGAACTCTACAACTCAATAATAAGAGAGACAACCTAATTTAAAAATGAGCAAAAGAACTGAATAGACATTTCACCAAAGAAGATACACAAATGACTAATAAGCACAAGAAAAGATGCTTGGCTGGACATTAGTCACTAACAAAATGCAAATTAAAATGACAATGAGAAACTATTTCACACTTACTAGATTAGTTATAATCAAAAAGAAACAGAAATACATGTTGGCAAGAATGTAGAGAAATGGGGACCATTTCTGGTGGGAATGTAAAATGGTGCAGCCACTGAAAAATTACTCATCAGTTTCTTAAAATGTTAAACATAAATTTATCATACAACCCAGCAATTCCACTCCTAGGTATCCACCCAAGAGAAAAGAAAACATATGTCCACACAAAGACTTCCAAATCAATGTTCAGTGCAGCATTATTCATAATAGCCCAAAAGTAAAAATAACCCACATGTCCATCAATTGTTGAATGGATAAACAAAATGTGATACATCCATACAATAGAATACTAATCACCAATAAAAATGAATGAAGTATCGATACATGCCACAACATGCATGAACCTCAAACACATTATGCGAAGTGAAGGAGCCAGACATAACATTGTACACTGTATGATTCCATTTGTATGAAATGTCCAGAAAAGGCAAATCTATGAGAGAAAATAGAGGTTGCTGGCGAACAGGGATGGGAATGGTAACTAACTGTAAATGGGTATGAGGAATCTTACAGGTGATAAAAATGTTCTAAAATTGGATTATAGTGATGGTTTCACACCTTGGTTAATCATTTATTACAAATTATTCTTAAAAACTTCAAAGAAAAGAGAGAGAAAGAGATGCAGGCGACATATTTCAGTGAGTTCCCAGGAGGGAAATTTCCGAGAAGCATGGAAAGGCTTTATAGGAGAGAACACTTAACTATGAATGCCAACTAAGCAAAATGTTATCCCCTAAAAAACAATCTCATTCTCTCATTAGCATATCTGTATTAGAAACTATTGTACATTTGTTACATCTACTTTTTAAATTTCATCACTAAAAATTTTGTTGGAAATATGTTTTCTCTCATTATGGAAGTACTTCTATAATATCCTCCATTTTTTATCACAGCCCTCAATGTCTAAAATATTTACCATCAGAAAGTCTGCCAATCCCTGCTATAGATGGGTACTTTTCCATTCAGGAAGAAAAACCCAAGGCCTGTTCTTTCTGTGTTACTAAAAGTTAACAAATCCCCTTGAATTGAGTAGATGGACTGAAAGAGAATCGGAAAGGGACACACTTTCTCTTTCTCCTCATGTCAGTCAGCATTATTTTGAAGCCTCCTGTGAAAATAATCTCAAATCCCACCCACAGTATCCTTCTGCCCATTACCTGCCCTCCAGCCTCATGCAGCTGACTCTGGATGCGTTGGCAGAAGTCAGGGTTGCACAGCAGTGTGAGAGGGGCCTTCAGTTGGATGGGCACAGGTTCGGTGATCTCTAGCAGGTGTTGCCATTCATTGACACTGTCTGGCTCCTGAGGCAGAAGGAAGTGAAAGAGGTCAGGAGGAATGGGTAAGGTTCAAGGGTAGTAGCTTCTAACCTGAGGAATCATGGAATCATTGCAAGAAACCAGTAACTCCTTTGGCACAGGTGTATTTTTTTCAGCCTCCAGTTTAAAAAGGTACAGCTGGCGGTACACAAGAGGTCTTGGAAAATCTCTTGGAGAACACTAGCATATGTGTATAAGGAGATACTTAGGAGGATGTCCATTGCAGCATGGTTTATAATAAAAAAATCATAAAGCAAATCAGTAATGGAATAACAAATCATGGCATATCCTTATTAAGAAATACCATTGTTATTAAAAAGACTTTAGTACTGAAGATGCATCATTTATGTAGCATTTCTACCAAAATGCACAACTTGAATCTAATCATGAGGAAATATCAATCTGAGGAACATTCTACAAAATAACTGTCCCATGCACTTCAAAACTGCCAATCATAAAGATAAAAAAAAAGATTAGGAACGGTTTCAGTCTCCAAAAGAAACTAAGGAAGTATAACAACTAAATGCAATGTACAACAACACTGGATCAGATTGTGGACAAGGAAAAAAAAAGGGCTTTTTTTGCTGTAAAGAACATTACCGGAGCAACTGGCAAACAGGGATTGTAGCTTAAGTAACAGAACTACATCAATTATGTCAATGTTAAATTTCTGACTTCTGTAACTGTACTACGGTCGTGCCAGTGAACAATCTTGTTCTGAGTAAATATGCACTAAAGCAAATACCTAGGGACAAAGGAGCATGTCTGCATCTTACCCCAAAATGATTCAGAAAAATTGCACATATATATAATTATATAATCCTATAAATGGAATCCTAAAGTAAATTAATAGAATCCTAAAGCAAATGTGGCAAAATTTTAGTAATTGGTGGATCTGGATGAAAGGGTATACGAAATTTTTGGTGGTATTCTTATTATTTTCTTTAAGTTTGAAATTCTTTCAAAATAGTAAGTTAAAACTCTGATAAAACAGAAGAGAACTACATGTTCAGATGTAGAAAGATCTCTACAATAGGTCACATGGTAAGAGGCACGGTACAAAATAATACACATGATACGACCTCAGTTATGTAAAAACAGCCAAACTATGCATTTCTATATAAGCATATACATGCATGTAAAAGTACAGAAAGTTTGGAAGGAGACAGACTAAACTCATATAACAGTAGACTCCTCTGGGACTGAGGTAAGCTTAAGGGGGGATTTCATTTTTACCTATGTGTTCCAGTTTTTTATAATTATATGTTCAGATACTATTCAATTAAAAGCTATAAATTGATAAGAAGGCAATTTTTAACACAAGGAGAGCCCATACTTAGATGGTTGGGAGACGCTGTTCTAGGAAAACATCTACACAGATCCGAGATCCCATGGCAGGGGCAAGGCCAGGAGAAGCCCCTAGGGCTCACCTCATTTTCTAGGTCCACTGCATCAGTGCTCTGCTGGCCCACCACCTCTGGCCTCGGCTCTGGGAAGGCTTGCTCACAATCCCGGATGATCTGGTTTTCCCTGCCAGAGGAAGTGGGGAGTAGGAGTTCTAGACCTGTGAGGCTTGGGATTCATTACCTTGTCCCTCCCTCAAGGCCCAGGACAGGAATGAAGAACAAGAACATACAGGATTGGATAGAGGAGACCTTCTTGGATATGGCCAGGACAGGATATGTAGACTGCTACCCACATATCCTTTACTACTCTCTCACTTGGTTCCTATTCTCAAGACTACCTTGGGAATTTTCACCTGTTGGTCTCAACTCAAATAATCTTCCCTTTTTTGTGGAGATGATTCTTTCCTTTCAGTTAATTTATGACTGAGGCATGCATAGAAAAAATAAAGTTCCCATAATTCCTGATGAATCAGGAAAGCATCTGGAATTAGAATTCAAGAACCTAGGACTAAGACTCCCAGGGCTCTGTCCATACGCAGGCACAGGATAGTGAGAAAGACTGTGTTGTATTCACTTTGGTGAGAGCCAAAGATCTGCAAGATACCTAAACCTATAAATCCCCAGCTATACCCTCCTCACCGAGGTGCAGGGAGGGCCTCTCCAGCTCCCCACTCAGCCCAGCTGCTCTTCACTTCTGCTACCAAGATCCCAGCCGAGAGGCCTGGTTCCTGAGGATTGGCCCTCACTTTGGGCAGAGGGGCTGTGCCAGAAGCCACCTTGCTGGTGCTCTCCTCTTGTTCAAGGGCAGGTCCTGTGTTCTGGTGTTTCTGTGGGAAGTGAGCAGAAGACACTGCATCAAAACTATCTGGTTGCCAGTGGCAGTAAAAATCCTATTTGTGGCTCTTTCCCAACACTAGGAAGTCACCCTCATCCTTCAATTCCCCCAGCCACTAGCCTGGTCATATCACATATTCCCCTTGGCCCCACACACCTTCTTCTTGGCCTCCTCAGCCATGCGCTTACAGGCTTCATGCAAGATGCGAGATCGACTGCCCTTGGGGGCCAGCTGATGCACCTGCTGGTCTTTTAGGACCTGAAGTTCTGGAGGTAGGCGACTGGTGAATGGGGTGCCCAAATCTGGGCCTGCTGGTTCAGAAATTACTACAGGGACAGAAGGGGGGAAGACATGATCATACTTGAGCTGAATCACCACTTCCACCTGGCCAGAGACAACTGCAGTATCTCCAGGGTTCTGCAGGAGACCATTTTGACAAAATGACAAAGTGGGGCAGGCGGTTGCAGGGGAAATGGCAAAGGTTAGGCAAAGAGCCAGAAAGAAAGTTCAAACTGGGGGGTAAAGAAGGTATGTTGGGTCTGGATAGTGGGGCAGAGAGTAGATGGGGGAGAGCACTAGGGAAGTGCAAAAGCCCTCATGACTCACTGGTAACATGACCAGCAATGAAGGGGTGATGTAAGAGGTCTGGCCAGGACAGACGCTGCCGGGGGTCCTTGGTGAGCAGCCCCTGCAAGAAGTTCTGTGGACAGAAAAAACAACCTTACTTTTTACCGGCTCTCCCTCACTCCTCAGCCAAACTGGCAAACCTGAGTCCATTCTTACAGCACACCCTCTCTCACCCTATCTTTAGGCCTGTCCCTGGTTTCAGGGACACTCTTCACTCCTCACCTCCTGGGGAGCCCCAATTCCTGTCCATGGACATTTTGGAACCCCAGAAGTAAAAACAGAAATCTCAGTGTTACCAGCTCTGTGAACAAGTGAGAAGAAACTAGAAGAAAGAGAAAGAGGTCACCTTCACAATCATCTTCAGAAAGCAAATATTCAAAAGAGTCCCAAGCTGTTCACTCTGCCCTCTCCTTGACTGCACTTTGTTTGCAGCTGGATGGGAACAGATGCATTTGTGGTTAAAAGCACACTCACACACAAAAGTCACTGTGTAAAGATGTGTTTGGGACCACTCAAAAACAGAGATCTTCCTGCCAGTCTTCATATGGTGGAGGGGTAGGGAGACTGTGTCTGAAAAGGGAGCATCTGTTATGAGGTATCTTTGGGAAAATCCTCAACTGGGCCTGGAACAAGAAGAGAAGGTACTAGCAGATTATGACCACTATTCATAAAAGGTGACTGGCACACATGGCTCTTACTGAAGATACCTGTATATTTCCCCTATTGGAAAAGGAATATCCTACCCTATGGGGGAATGTATATCACCCAGTTAAGTTTCCTATGTTTAGATTCTTTTGATAATTATTTGGGCCTCCCCAAACTAAACAGATTAGGGAGAAACTTTTCCCTTTCCACCTTAGATAAAGCAAAGGAAAGTTATAATGAGGGTTCACTCTGGGAGAAGGTAGCATTTAAATTCCATTGAAGGCCCAAATCATGCCCTAGATTAAGGGAAAAAAAGGGTGAACTCTTTTTCCTTCCTCCCTTTCCACCCTGCTGAGACTTAACTGCAAGGAGCAGGCACCGCCTCTATCCTCTGTCCCTAATCACTGAGCTAGCCCACCAGCTCTGGCTATCTGGACATGTGAAGATTCCTTCTTTCAGGAAAAGAATTGAAAGCTGTGTGGGTAAATGAAGGTATCAGGCAATCAATTCATTTGATAGGATATAGGTAGAACAGAAAGTATGTAAAAGAACCAGTATCTGTGGCTGATGTCTTGAAATTACCTTTCCAGTGTGACATAGGATAGCTTAAGGGGAAGCTGCTATATCCAAATTGGGCAGACCTTAGAACAGCCTCCCAGAATAAGGCCCTATAGTAGAAAAGCAAGGCAGCTTGACCCAGGTCCTGCATTAATTCAGTAACTGCAAAGTCCTCCTACAAATCTGGAAAAGGATTTTGGAAATGGGAACAGTGGCAGAGATAGGTTTCTGATGCAAAAGTATTCTCCCTTTCCATATTCATTACCTTGAAGCAAGGACTAATGGTGGCAGGCCAGCGCACAGGGTCCTTGAGAATAAGGCTGACCAGCTGAAAGATGTTGGTGGTGTAGAAGGGAGGCGTGCCTACAGCCAGTTCATACAGTATGCAGCCGACAGACCAGAGGTCTGCAGTGTGGTCATATGGTCGCTCTTCCACCAGCTCTGGAGACATATAGAGTGGTGTGCCTTTGATAGATGTCAGCACCATTGTGTTGGTGCTCATGGCCCGGGCAAATCTGCAAAAGATGATGGAATGGAAATGGGAAGAGGGAAGATATCAATAAAAACTAAACCTGGTTACTACTACCCATCATGTGTGAGAGATCCAACCTGAGCAGAGAGAGCACCTTACAAAAGACCAAGCAGAAAGCCCAGTCTCCAGCTCATGTTCTAAAATGAGGCCCAAGTAAGTCAAGCATATGGTCTTATGTTCTAAAATGAGACCAAGTAAGTCAAGACTTATGGTCTAAGTCTTTCTGCAGAAATGGAAGCAGAGATGGAAGGTCAGGTTCCTCACCCAAAGTCACAGAGCTTGATGCCACCACCCTTGGCAAGAAGGATGTTCTGTGGCTTCATGTCGCGGTGGAGGATGCGGTGGGAATGCAGATAGTACAAAGCAGACACCAACTGAGCAGCAATGGCCTGAACCTAGATGTCCAATAGTTAGGTGGGAGGAAGAAAGGAAAGGTCAGAGGAAGGAGCCTGCTGATGAGCCCAAAGACTCCTCCATACCACTGCTGACATGATCTTGTCCTTCTTCCCTTTCTCCCAGAGTGTTACATGACACCTTACTTAGTTCTTGCTCTCCTATTCATTCGTTCTTTGTGTTTGTCTGCCCATTCAAGGAAGATGTGTTGAGTCTCGCTTACCAGCTGCATGACTGTGGGCAAATTATCTTGTGCCTCTCAGATTCATCATATTAAGGTAACAATGATGATGCCACCCACCTCATAGGGTTATTGTGGGGATTAATCCATGTAAAGTTATGGAATTCTCAGAACAGTGCCTCACAGTTAGCAAGCCTTCAATATATTACTTATTATTAAAGAAGACAAAAAAACAACCCTCAAGAGAAGTTATCAAACAAACAAGCCAGACAAAACAAATAAGATGATGACTTACAAATGTTCAGAAGGAAATAGAATGCTGCAATAGGAAGTCCTGAGGGGGGCCTACTTGCTAGACAGAGTTCAGAGAAATCCCTACAATGGGTGTGGATAAAGAATGTGTTCAAGCAAATCCCATTGTTAACCACTATGCCTTGGAGATGAGCCCTGCCTTAACCAAAAACCTTCTCCCTTCCTGCCCTCTCCAGTACCACCACACTGGTCCTTCTTCCCCAGAGGTACCTAACAGCGACAACAACCACATTACTAATAGCTATATTGAATTCCATGTGTCAGCACTCTTTTCAACACTTTATATGCATTAACTTATTTTCCACAATAGCCTCATGAGGTAGACAGAACTATTATTTCTATCTTAAAATGAGGAAACTGAGCACAGAGAGGATCCCTGTCCATGAGGATCCAGCTAGAAAGTGGCAGAGCCAACCTTTGCACATACTGAGAGATTCTGGCTCCAGTGTTCACATACTTTACAGTCCCACCACATTGCCTCTATATATACCCAGCTGCTTGTATTTTTCTCAGGAGTCTTCAAAACAGAAACTCTCAGTGCCTTTAGCTTTCCTTACCAGTCCTTAACCTGAAGAGAGGTCAGGGGCAGGGAGAAGTTTGAGCCAGGAAACCTACCTGGTCTTCAGGAAGCTTTCCATCATCTTCCAGAATCTGAAAGAGCTCTCCCTCAGCATAGTCTGTCACCACAACCACCTGCAGGGAGAAGGCAATGGTACTAATAGCTCCAGATATATGCATTCTAACGTTCGGAAATTCCTGGGGCCCTCCTTCTCAGGGAGAGTTGACCCAAAACCAAAGTGCACCTCTTTGTCAGTTTCAAAGCTGTCAAGCATATGCACAATGTTGGGATGCCGCAGACCCCTCATAATTTCAATCTCTCGTTGCAGATTCCTCAGCTCCTTCTCTGAGCGTCCCAGTTTTGGAATGAACTTCAGGGCCACCACCTGTCAGTGGTAAGGTTAAGAGTCAAGGCCCAACCACACTATTGAAACATTAGCCTCAGAGCTCCACAGCTCAGGCTTTAGATTGTTTGAGCAATTCTCAGTATACCTGCTAGTTTCCCACATCACTTCCCCATGGTATACACTGACCTTACCCCGGCTTCCCCTACCCCTCATCCTAGGAGGAAACAGCCTCTGCTAGATAGATATCTTTGGTGGATTCTGGGAGAGATATTTTGACCTGGGTAAAGAACTCAAGATTTAAGGGAATTGGGGAGAAGGGAAGGAAAAAAAAAATGAAAACAGAAAAATACAGTTCAAGTGGTTTATCTCTTCCTGCATGGTATGATAGAAATTAATAACAATAATAATGATTTATTTATTGTTTACTAGGTGCCAGGCACTATGTGATTCAGTGTGATATCACATTCAATCCTCAAACCCTATCAATCAGTTATCTTTATTATACAGATGAGGAAACCGAGAGAGAGAGAGAGAGGTCAAGTAATTTGTCCATAATTCTAAGGTTAGACAGTAGAGCTAGGTTTGAATCCAAGTAATCCAAGAACAGAGCTCATACTCTATAAGAAGTATATATGAAGGAGTCATTGTTTTAGGATTACAGGTTGGTATTCTGGCCCTGTTTTCCAACGGACTTAGGGGTACAGAATCCCACCCAAGAGATAATCTCTTTGTTCACCACCTGAGCACTGTATTTTCTTCGACCCTTGTATACCCTCCCAAAGGAGCCTTCTCCAATCATCTCCAACACGTGGTACTTTTCCATGACAGAGGTTTCAGGAACCCTCAGAACTAAGAAGGTACAGGTGGTGGTGAAGGGCTACAGCTCCAGCGACAGTTCCACACATCTGGGAGTTCTAGTTCGGGCAGGGAAGAAAGGTTAATGTTAGTTGCCTTGCTATTTCCTTTTTCATAATAATCTAGGCCACAAAAACATGTTAGGGTGGAGTGGATGGAAAGATGGGATATTGAAGCAAACTGAGCGCCTCTCGTAGTTACTCCTCTTTCAGTCTCCTCCTGTCCCCCAACTCAACCTCGCTCCCGAATACGACCTGTTGCCTCTCCCCACAGCCTCGCCCACCGACCCCAACCCTCCCACCCTCCCCCAAGTTCCCGTCACCTCCATCTTCCCCTGCACCCCCGCCCACACCTCCTGCCCCCGGGCTCCGCAGTCCCCAGCCCCTCTCTCACCGCCAGCCTAGGAGCTCAAGCTCCTCCGGCCGAGAGACGCCGGCCCTGACCTCCGGCCCCGCCCCTCCTGGCCGCCTGCGTACTTTGCCTGACTTATAATTCTTCCCCGCATCCTACTGCCTTGCCTGTCTCTTTAGACTACCACTGTTACCAGTTTTCCTCGCTAGAGCTGATAAGAAGTTCAGAGGACAGAGGCATTCAGAAGTGTGGGAGAGACGGAGGACCGCTCACAGGCACTTCCTAGGGCACTTCCGAGCCGTCACTTGACCAGCAGTGCCCGCGGTTGCCTAGAAACGGCCTCTAGCCACCTTCTCTCCGCCCCTTAACTTTCCTCCTCCGACTCTCTCAGAGAGCATTTCCGGTTCCGGCTGTCTGCCGGAGAGGACATGGCGGTTCCTTCGTCTGCAGCTCCCGGGGAGGAGGACTGGTAACTTTGGGGGGGCACGGGTTTAGGCTGACCGCCTGGATCCTGTCCGGGAGACTAGCGGCGGCCGCAGACGGTCCGTACGGCGGGCATGTGGGACGGAGCGAGGGATGAGGGATGGCAGAGACGCTGACATCTCTCACTAAGATAGCTTCTGGACAGGGGAGCGGGTGGGTGGAGGGGTGTTAATCTGAGGAGAGGAGCCCGGATCTGCGCCAGCCAGGCCATTTTGGGCAGCGCCTTATCTGGTTCGATTGCTTCTCCTTGGCCTCACCGATCCCATTCTCTCCCCCTGAGGTGTACTTGCTCAGGGTCCTGGAGGATGCCTGTTTAACAAATTTCCCCACCTCCCTTTTACCTCTTGGAACCGATGTCCACCAGCTCCCGTCCCTCTTTTCCCTTGGATCAGCCTATTTCCGCCGAGGCTAACCTCAACGTAACCCCCTCCCAACAGCACCGAGGGCTATTGTCTGAATAAAGCTTTACACCTCACAAAAGTTTCTCCTAGCCCCTCTCTCGAGCATTCTTAACAAGACACCAGAACCTGAAGGACTCTGGATTTTGGAAATAGTATGAATGTGGGTTCACTCCACATTTTATTAGCTGTGTGATGCTAGCCAGGCCACCTAGCTCCTGTGAGTCACTGACCTCAGACGTAAAAAAGTGGGTGTGGCATCTACCTCCCACTTGGTTGAGAGGATCACAGTGGATTTGTAACTTATATAAGCTTCCTTTGCATTACTAACTCTAAAGTTTAGGCACCTTAAGAGACGAGATGAGACCTGACGAGGCAAAATGAATTGCCAAAAAATACATAATAGCTATGACTAGGAATCCAGGTTGACTCCAGATTTTATGTTCTTAGTACCAAGACATTCTGCAGTTCCCCTCCCCACCTTTTTCTTTTTTTATCACCTCACCACAGCCCAGCGCATCCAGTCCCATCCCATCCTTCACATCCAAATCACAGAGTCTGTGGAGTTTTGAAAGGCTTCTTAATGGAGGCTGCTTCTCAATATTTCATTGGTTCAGAGAGCCCAGCCAGTACTGGCCTTTTTAAGGCCATATAGACTCAGGGTTTTCAAACTGTTCAAGGGAACTTTAAGACTCTGAGGAGCCACTTTGAGCCACAGAGAGGGCAGCAGTGATTGCCCCCCTAGCCTGTGGTGCCCTGAAACTCCCATGCTCTTGTCAACCAGAACTACTTCACCGGTATCTATTTTATATTTTGAGGTGTCTGACTAAGACTTAAGTTTTGAGAACCACCAATATATGTGTTAAACTAGGGGCAGCCCTGCTCTGGTGAAGAGGGCAAATATAACTACAAGAAAGCAAACCAAGCATGCATCTTTTCATGTATTATCTGGGTAGAGCTGTGGACTCAAGCCACTCATCTTCAGTGTCGTTACAAATGATGTTGTTGTGATTAAACGTGTATCCTCTAATTTATATCAGGACCACTGGATAGGCAGATTGATCTAAATCAACCAGACAGCAAAGGTCATAAATAAATTAATACTAACTGGGCAGGTTGATCTAGATCAACCAGACAGCAAGGATCATAAATTGAATCCTTCTCTCTTTCCTTTTAAGGAAGAACCGTTAGAAAAGAGACATAGATTAGCCACTATGGCCAAGATGCTATTAGGTACTTTATGTAAATAAATCATTTTTCATCTTCACAATAACCCTACAGAGTATGTGATATCTGCATATGGTAGGACAGGGTAACTCAGGCTTACAGAGATAAATAGTTGACCCTTGAACACAATGTAGGGATTAGGGGCACCGACCCCCCCCCGCCATGCAGTTGAAAATCTAAGTTTAACTTTTGATTCCCCAAAAACTTAGCTACTGATAGCCTACTGTTGACTGGAAGCCTTAACTGGTAACAAATAGATTAACACATATTTTGTGTGTTACATGTATGATAACTGTATTCTTAGAACAAAGTAAGCTAGAGAAAAGAATGTTTTCTTAAATTGTTGCAGATCTTCAAAACATTTTTCATATATTGAAAAAGACACGCATATAAGTGGACATGTGCAGTTCAAACCCATGTTCAAGGGTCAACTCTACTCAGATCATGTAGCTGACAAGTGATTGATACCTATTACTCCAAGACTAAGGCTCTTCCACTACAGCACAGCCTTTATACCATCAGGCTCTGTTCTGTTCAGGTTGAAATCTCCTTTGGGAAGGCTTAGGTTTGACTGGTATTGGCAACATATAGACCCTGGGTTCCATGTGAACAGTGGTGTAGGGAAGGCCAGTAGTGGAACTGGTGACCTCAGTGCTCATCAATGGCTGTCATATTTCTGAGTCAGAGAGCTGGTCACTGAGGAACAACCCACAGTGTGATGAAACTTAAGCAGGGAGTCAGGAAACCTGGCTCTGGTCCCAGTTCTGCCTATTAAGCCTTGAGATTTGGGCTGGTCATTTTCACCTGCCTGGGAATCCATTCCTCATCTGTTGGCAGAAATGATCTCTGTAACTCTGATTCCTGTGATTCCTACCTGGCCACTTGACAACTTAAGGAAACATACTTCCCCCATTTTTATGGAGGTTAGCAAGAAAATGCACTCAAGCAGATTACCTTTTTCTACAAAAGCCAGCCTTCATTAGCCTTAGCAGACTTTTAACAGGGAAAGCTGTAATGGTGAGTCAGTCTCCCCCTGTCTCTCTAGGGTCCTTTCCTCTGAAGTCGAGGTGTTAGAGTCTATCTATCTGGATGAACTACAAGTGGTTAAAGGAAATGGCAGGTATGTATTCAACTAGAGGTGGGCAGGAGTCCCCTTAGTAATGAGAGTATTCTGTGTAGAATCTGTGAGCATTGATTCAGAGACAATGTTTCTCTCATATAGACAAAAACTCTTCCTTTACCCACCTACCTCCACTAAAAAGAAAAAGCCCAGTGCTGTCTTCATCGCCCTGTGTTACTTACTCTCATCCCCATCTTCCCCAGCCCTCAAGCCCCTGCCCAGTCTCATCCCAGGTCTCCACTTCATTCACCTTCAGATCTTCACCATGGGAGATCTACATCACCCTGCATCCTGCCACTGCAGAAGACCAGGATTCACAGTATGTCTGCTTCACTCTGGTGCTTCAGGTCCCCGCACAGGTGAGGCCCCTACTTTGTGGTAGCAAAGAGAGGAAGGGGAGAGGCCCTGGAGTGGAGTGCTTGAGCAGTAACTTACCATCTCCCACTAGTATCCCCACGAGGTGCCAGAGATCTCTATCCGTAATCCCCGAGGACTCTCAGATGAACAGATCCACAAGTAAGTTGTGCTAGTCAGAGCTGGGAAACCTTGGGATGCAGCTCAGTCTGGTGAGGCAGACCTGATGTTTGCTTTGCCCTCTTCCTCCAGGATTTCACAGGCACTGAGCCATGTGGCCAATGCTGGGCTGGGTACTGCCATGCTCTATGAACTCATTGAGGTAAGAGGTATGCTAACCTGGCAAAATGTCCTCTTCAAGCTGGAGCAGTTTGTTTTAAGGGAGGCCATGAGCCTAGAATCAAATACATCTGGAGTCATGAAGTTCTTGTTTAAATAAGACCTGAATTAATCCAGAAAGATGAGACTCTTGTTTCAAAATATCCTCCAAAGGGAGTTTTTAGCTTCCCCAAGTTGTCTATTCCAGCATCTTCACAGGAAATTACATTTCCTCTTTGATTTGCATTTTTCCTCAGTTACAGCACATTTCTTGTTTCCTTGGCACTGGCAACTGAAAGTAGCAAGAGATGAATACTGCCTGAAAGATTTAGTCATAAATGAACATTTTAAGGCTAGTCTGCCATTGGAGCTGACTAGAAAAGTCATGGTTCTTTTACTCAGTTTTCTACCCTAGCAAAGAAAATAACCCATGGGAAATAATCCATAGAGCTACAAGTGAATATACCCAGATAACTTTTGTTCTTTGATATTAAAAACACACAATTAAATAGTTTGGTTTTCCCCTACTTCAGAGTTTTTAAGAAAAATGTTCAGAAAAGAATGAAGGTGGGTGGCCTAGAGTCAGAGAGAGTGGGCATACGCCACTGCAGCACTCCTGAGTCAGGCCTCCACAATGCAGCTTTGAACTTTATGGAATTCCAGAGTGTTAGCTATTCAAACAGCAGTGCAAATGTGTTATTTCATAGCTCAGCTCAATGCCTTTTGAATTCTTTGTCCATTTGCATTGTCCATGTCACGATTTTTTCTGAAAGCTGATTGCAGAATAGACTCACTGGGGGAGTGATACTCAAAGGTGTTGACTGAGAAAGGCACCCCAGAAGATATTTTAATTGAGCATTTCTTTCTAAAGGTGTATTATTTTCATCCCTAAGATGAAATACTAAAGGTGGAAAAACAGTTCAATTGGATTTTGCAGCAGGGCAGATTTTGGGAGAGGGGCAGGGACATGGAGGAGGATTGATTCCAAGCAGAGGGAGCATCAAGCAGAAAGGCATGGAGACAAGGTAACATGCTGGCTTGGTGGGAGACAGTCCCGCTAGTCACTTCTGGGAGTAGTGGACCCGCTTTGCTCACAGCCCTTGCCGCTGCCTCCCTGTTTGAACAGTGTCTTCTCTTCTCAGAAAGGGAAAGAAATTCTTACAGACAACAACATTCCCCATGGCCAGTGTGTCATCTGCCTTTATGGTTTCCAGGTGGGTTTCTCCTGGGATCTGGGGTCTGCTTGGGAGTGGAGGGCTCATGAAGGAGCTCTGATGCAATGCACTATATCTGTCCTCCCTCCAGGAGAAGGAAGCCTTTACCAAAACACCCTGTTACCACTACTTCCATTGCCACTGCCTTGCTCGGTACATCCAGCACATGGAGCACGAGCTGCAGGCTCAAGGACAGGAGCAGGAACGACAGCATGCCACCACCAAACAGGTCAACCCACCAGCCCCTGCTCTCACCTGACACCAATAACTCTCACAACAGACTTTTCTGTCCACTCCTGTGCTCCTAACATTTTTAGGGTCATAGATACCTTTGAGATTAACAAGTTTACCTTATCCAGAAAAAAAGGGCATCTTGATGTACACATAACTGCATGCAGTTTCAGGGTTCCCAGACCCCTGAGAGCTAGGCATCCCTTGCTGTGTATCCCTCACTGCCCAACAGGCATGCAACCTGTCCTTTGTCCCAGCCCTCCATAGATGAGGCTGCCTGATAGGGTCAGGCAGCTGGACAACACTGGACCAAGAAACAGGTGTGATTTCTCCTCTCTTTTTAGAAGGGTGTCGGTGTCCAGTGTCCGGTGTGCAGAGAGCCCCTCGTGTATGATCTGGCCTCACTAAAAGCAGCCCCTGAACCCCAACAGCCCATGGTAAGGGAACTCCCTCTAATCTGAGCCAGGAATAATGGCATTCTCCAAAGAGGGGGGATGGCATCTTGTCTGCCTCAAATGAGGTGTCTGGAATTGGGCTCTACCTGCTGGGAACCTCTGCAAAGCCACAGTCCCCACTAGGCCTAAGGCTTCAGGAGCCCAAATCTGAGGGACAAATCCAAGAACCTCATGGAGGTCTGAGGAAGTTCTGGAAGAGCAGGGATTCAACTCGCCTTCTACTGTTTATTCTTTCCTCTCTGCTATTCTGCTTCCCTACAGGAGCTATATCAGCCTAATGCAGAGAGCTTACGCCAGCAAGAAGAGCGCAAGCGGCTTTACCAGAGGCAGCAGGAGAAGGGGGGCATCATTGACCTTGAGGCTGAGCGAAACCGGTATTTCATCAGCCTCCAGCAGGTGAGGGAAGGGTTTCTCACTCCTCTCCTAATGCCACCAACTTTCCTACCAGCATCCCTCTGCCGTGGCCCTAGGTGAGTTTTGCTCTACCCAGAAAGGTTGTAAACTGATGGTCAGCTCAGATAGTGGGTGAGGGGGCCTGCAGGCCCTGCTTTTAGGAAGTGTATCTCCCTCGCTGCATCTGCTCGTTTCTTTCTAGCCTCCAGCCGCTTTGGAACCTGAGTCAGCTGTAGATGCTTCCAGAGGATCCCACCCACCCGGTGCCCTTGCCACAGAATTGTCCACCTCATCAACTGCCCAACCCACCCTGTCAACTCCTCTGCCTGTGACCTTGCAATACACATGTGAGAAGATTCCAGGGGCTGGGCCAAATCAGCAAAGGTTGGGCGAGGCCCAGAAAGCTATGCTAGATCCCCCCAGGGCCAGTCGAGGCCCCTGGAGACAGCCTGAACAGAGGCACCTAAAGGGAAGGGAGTGCAATGCCCCTGAAGGTACCAGTGACACCCAGGAACTACGACCTCCTGAGGGGCCTCTCAAGGAGCCCATGGACCTAAAGGCAGAACCCTGTAATCAAGGGGTTGATGGTCCTCCCCTAGAGAAGGGGCCTAGCAACTGGCAGGGTCCCCCATCCCGCAGGACTCGGGACCGTACTCGCTGGGAACGCTCCAAGGGGCGGACACCGGGTTCTTCCTACCCCCGCCTGCCTCGGGGTCGGGGAGCCCACCAGCCTGGTACTCAGAGGGAGCCCCTGAGCTTGGAATCTGAGGATGGTTCCTAGCAGTACTGTCGGGGGATGGATTTGGGGCCGGGAGGGGGGAAATAAAGAGATTTGGCCTTGTTTGCTCAGTAGCACCTAGTCTCTGAATTATGGCTCTCTTTGTAAATTCCTAGCAAAACTAGTGTGGGAGAGTAGCCCCAACTTTGCTCCAGAGTCTTTTCCTGAGAGATCAGGGTCACAGTAAAGAGGAGTGTGACATCTCAGCTAGTGTGGTGCGTTTCAGGGAAAACTAGTGAATGCCAACATTTAAGCAGCGTATGCCATATAACCATGTATATACCCATATTTTTTATACTTTTTTTGTTTTGAAAGTGTTTAGGTAGAGGACTATACATTTCCCATTTACTATAGTGTCTCTTTTTGCCTCCTTGTCTTAGGCTATACCCCCAGCACTACATGTGGATACCTGACAACCCCTGTAGGCATTTGTAATTGCAACCCAGTTTCTTAATCAAGTACCAATACAGGGAGGTAGGAAGGGAGGTCAGAGACCAGAATAGTGTGGCAGGTGTTTTATTGATCTCCTAGAGGACAGCTGAGTACAGCTTGGTTGTCACCTCAGAGACTCAGCATTGTGAATTGCCCCTGCAGGGTCATTTTTGTACAGCATGAAGTAGCCCTGTACCTGGGCAGGACTGATCTGAGTTCTAGCTTGAAGGACACGTTCTGCAAAGGCCTCAGCCAAGGAAGATGCTTGCCCAGGATAGAACCTCTGGAACATCTGGGTCAGCTGCCAGTGTGAGCAGTAGCCCACGTACTCCTTCAGGTCTACTCGCCCGGGACGTATCAGAGCAGGATCCAGCCTAAGAGAAGGCAGCACAAGAAGAGTCCCAGGCCACAGTACCACTAACACCCCCAAAAATGATGGTCCCTCTGAACCTCCTGATCCTCCCAAGGCACTGGGGGGTGGACTCTTGCCTCAGTGTCAACATATCTCACTCCTTACCTGTCAACATGGTTGGTGGTCATGAATACAATGCGTGCCTCAGTGGAAGCTACACCATCCAAAGCATTAAGCAATCCACTGAAGGTGAGACGGCCTAGACCTTGGTATTTCACTGGGTCTAGAGGAAGGCAGAGATGAAGAAGCATGGGTGGCCATAGCCCTGCTTAAGATTAACAGCCCCTCTCCTATGTGCCACATTCCCCTACTTCTCAGTGCCTCTTGTGAGCCCTTGATGCTAAGCTAGGCATCCTCTGGGCCTCGGGATTTATACTTTCTTCCACTGTTCCTCACTCCTATACACCTCATTTACCCTCATTCAGAAAGACTTCCCTTCCCTCAACTCCCCTCACTTACTCTCTGCAGCCAGGTCTCGACTGAGAAAGGCAGCATCCACGTCCTCCAGGAGCACCAGGCTCTGCTGCGGGGCCATGCTCAGCAGGTGGTTGAGCCGGTCATCTGAGAGGCTGGAGTCCGTGAGACTCAGCAAGCAGATGCTGTGCTCCAGTTCCCCGGCCAGGGCTGTGCTACGGAGGATGGGATGACAGGAGGCTGACAACGTGGGAATTGGTCCTGGGACCCAGCTACTTGTTCCTCTGTATGAGGTGTTCTCAGAGGCCCAATCGTTCTGCCACTCCACCCTAACGTTTCTCATGTCCCATGTTTATCCTGGTCCCTATTCCCCACATTTATTTCCCTTTCCAGCCCCACTGGCCCACTTTTTCCCCAGTTTGAGGATTAAGAGAAATTTCAACCCTACTCACATAAAACTGCTTTTTCCACAACCAGGGGGCCCATAAAGCAGGTAGCCACGTCTGTAGGGAATGCCTAGGAATATAGCCAGGATGATAATCAAGACCTAAAATGAATCGTGTACTGTCTGAAATGTCCACATTCATTCCCAACACTGCCCCCTGGAGAACTGATGATCTAGAATTGAAGAGATCATCCCCTTGGGCAATTTTTCTTTCCCCTTTGTTTCTGGAAATTAGGCTAGAGCTTTATACATTCCATCTGGCCAGAGACCACCCCTTTCCTCCTGCTCTAACACCACATCAAAAACAGCCTGGCCAAGACACCAGCTGCTGCTTACCTCTGTCAGTGTACCATTTGGGGTTATCAATGAATTCCTGGATGTCTCTGACAATTCGGTCAGCCAGACCCTGTTCTAGAACCACAGAACTCAGCGGCCGGCGGCGGCGTGGATAGCCAAAGGTACGCCATTCAGAGCCCATGGCTGTGTACATCACCGTTTTCCCTTCCTCTTGTTGCAAGGCTAGCTCTCGAGCTGGGAGGGGGGAGATGAGACAAAGCCAGCAATTCCTCTCTCAGCCACACAACGAGGCAGCTGTGCCTAGTTCCCTTGGCCCTGCTGGACCCCATGAACTCAGATTCTCCTCTCCAAACTTCTTTCTGCTGTCAAATATGTCCATCCCTGCAAATGCCCTATAAAGCCTGTGTCATCTCACACCTTCCTCCAGGATGTTGAAGAAAACCTTTCGGTCAGTGCCCAGAGCTGTGAAAGTGACAGATTCCCACGGAGTCCCTGTCTGCAGGTCTATCATCTGCATCTCTCGGCTTCTTTCCACTCGGATCCATTTCCCCTGATACCTGTAAAGGGATGATCAAAATGAGGTCAATGAATGGGTCAAACCCAGCTCCCTTCATTCTCTTCTACTCTCAGAGCCCTCCCTGACCCCCAACCTTACCAGATAAAGTGGTTTCCAGGGCTTGGGACAAATTCAAACTTAGTGGAGATGCGGCCACTCTCATGCTGAAGGTACGAAGTCTCAACACTGAGGTGCTGAGTACGGGTACTGTGACGGGTGAGCCAGGTAAGCAACCAGGCATAGCTCCTGTCTCGAGCAGGGACTTCCAGTGTGATCATGTAATGGCGCCGAAATGCCACCAGACCCAGTTGGGCGCCCTTCCGGGCCAGGGCCAGGGCTGTGCCCACACCCACTAACCCAAATCCAGCCCCAAAATAGGGATTGTCCTTCAGGGCCAGAACAAAGTCTGAGAGGGGCATCTTGAAAGGGAAACACCAAACCTTAGAGGCCCTGAATCATTTTCAAAACCTGGAGGTAGGGAATAAAGGGGATGGGACAACATACAAGATTAGTTTAGAAACTGAACCCCACAATTCCTCCGTACATTGGTCCCCTCCCTCCTGCAGAAGCTAGGAGCAGAAAGGGCAGGTCAGCACTTCAGTGAAATTCAATGTCTTCTCTTTGTGGGTGGGAGTGGTGCTGGAATGCAAGGACCAAAACTCCAGGCCCCTCATTCTATTCTGTCCTTCATTATCCTGTTCATACCTCAGTTTCCTGCCAGAGGACTTTGAAGATCCCTAAGAACTGAGAGAACAATGTCACCAACTTAACATCAGGGGAATGGATGGACAAAAATTTGGTGGTCCTGGGACCAGCTGAGATGGGAAGGGGCCCAGTGGCCAGAGTTAGCACGGGATGAAGATGTTCTCTTCCGCTGACCAGTCAGTAACCCCATGCTTTATTACCATGAGTAACATCCCTTAAATATCTTCTTAACATGTTCAGTTTCCTTTATTACCTCCCACCTAAACTGTCTCTAAGATGATGTTTAATTCTTGAAACTGCATCTTAATGGGTCTTCATCTCCTGCTTCACCAAACTGCCAGAGATTCAGCTCTTCATAAGGATCTGCTTCAATCCTATCACACACCCTACTCCAACACCTCCAATGGTTGGTTCTCAAAAGACCCCTGAATTAGGTTAAAAGTCCTCCGCCTGGTACTCAAAACCCTCTACCACACGTACCCACTTACCTTTCATGGCTTAGCTCCTAATACACTCTGCTGAACAAATGTATCAAGCAATCCCCTCCTTGCTCAAGCAGTTCTCTTGACTCAGAATGGCCATTCTAATTTATTCTCTCCTTTCTCTCCAGTTGAAGTCCTGCCCATCTGCTACTCATCCATGGAGATCCCCAACCCCCTTAATAAAACGTGACCCGGTCCAAATATAGGCGGTAAGATCTCGAGGGGTAAGAGGCCAGTACTCCTCCCCGCCCGCGGCCAATTTGCTCAGCACCTGGGACGCAAGGCGGTGAACTAACAGTAGTTACCACGGCTGAGGCTCAGAGTAGGATCCAGAATTCCAAAATACCTATGTAGGGAAGGCCACAGACAAAGCCCTTCCTACTCCCGCTACTAGTCGAGCGCCCAGAAACCCCCTCCCGAACCCCGTTCACAGCCCAGCTCGCCTCGAGCAATGTGGCTGAGAGTAATCTCTCACTCCGCCCCCTTACCGCCATGACTCTCTGGCCCTCTCTCTCGATGGTGTCACCCCTCTGCACTTGAGGGAAGAGCCGTTCGGCCCCGCCCCCTAGCTCTTCACCTACTTCCCACCACACCCACCAAGAAGGCCATGCCACTCTGCCCCACGACTCTCTATGGTACTCCTTAGGCTTCATGGCTGGGGGAAGAGGAGAGGGGAGGAGGAGAGAAAAAAACCATAGAGTACTCCCCCAGCCAACGAAAGGAAGAGAGAGGGGTCTCCACATGCCCTGTGTCCTAAAGGCGGATGGGCCGGAGGCGGTCGCACAAAGGGAGTCCCGGGAGGCCGCTCCAGCTCTGGCCAACCACAGAGACGCGGCTCCCACCGGCCCGGGGCTGGGAGGTGAGACGCTGCGCGGCGTAACTATTAGGGAGTGCGGGTGGAGGGGGTCGGAGGCAAAAGTTGCTCGAGCCCCAGGATAAGGGTGGGTCTGGGCGGTGGGAACCTTCAGGAGGAGGTGTTGAAGGGGATACCGCGACGAGCTGGGGCCCCGCTGATTCATCACTTCGGTCGCCCCAGTGCCTCAGCCGCGTCACTGTTCTGGACCCAGCCGGATTACCCGCTGCCCTCTCACAACCATAATCTTGACTATGCTCCACCCCAAGCCCTGAAGGTTACAAAACGGCTTTCCATTGGCCGGCTATTGTGATTCCCGCCCCTGCCCAACGATGTAGACGCTGTCATCGCCTCCACTTTACAGAGATAGGAAAGCTGAGGCCCAGAGAAGCGAGGTGACCGTCCGTCCAAAGGCCACGCGGTGAGTCAGAGCCCACAGGCAGGTGAAAACCCGGGTGGCTTGGTCCCCAGGCCGGCTGTCGTTTTTTTTCTCCGGGTCTTCTCCCTGCTTCAGTTTGTCATTTCTCTTCCTCAGTGCCCCTGCCCCAAAGATAGCTCATTTCTTATCTTGCCCACCTGTCTCCCACCACACCCCGCCCTCCAGGGGCTGAAGGTTCAGGTTCTCAATCTAGACAGCACCGTATCTTCTTTGGCTTCCGCCCTGAGGCCATATATGCTGAGCTAGAAGATTACCCAGAACATTGACAATATTCAGTAAGAGGAGGCTGCGGTTTCCAAAGATCTGCCGACCTCCGAGGTGCACTTGCCTGACATTTTCTGAATCCCTCTTATGCAAAGTTTCAAGGTGCAGGATTCTCACCTGCAACCTAATTTCCTAGCTCTAGGCCCTTACTCAGACACCATGACTCAGTTTCGTGAAGTGATTACTGTCATTCTTGTTAATTACTAATTATTCATCTTAAACTAATTTCAGCCACGCATAACAGAATATGTAATTTAGTTGGCATTCATTTCTCAGTTGTAGTCCAGGGTTCAATATGAGGACATAGTCAATGAGTTTGAGATTTCGCTAGGTGTGTTACTTTATTAAGGTACTGCTGGTTTGGTATCTTGGTAGAAACCTAGCTTTACTCCGTTGCATCTCTGGGTCTACAGTTCTTCACTAGAATCTGCTTACTGGTCTAACTTGCACATATTGATGGTGATTTGTGTAGTGAAGTGATAGTGTCAATAAATTCCATTCAAAAATCTCCAAGTCTAGGGAAGAAGACTGCTAGGTAAACAACAGTGCAGTTTTTGATAGAACTACATACAAGGTGCCGTCAGGACTCCAGAGAGATGAACAGTGTTGGGAAGCCCTTAAAGTACACGTGACACTTGTGCAGACTCTTAATGGATAGTTAGGAGTTGATTATCCAGATGAGAGATGGAGAAACAGAAAAGGTCCGTCAGGCTGAGAGAGAGGAAGAAAGAGGAGCATGCGTGAGGGTAGGGAAGCAAAAGAGAATGTGGTGGGTCGGGGGAATGGCAAATCATTGGTATGACTGGTTCAGAGAACTCTTGAGGGAGAAGTGGAAGATGAGTCTGGAGAGGTCAGCAAGAGCCAGATCATGAAGGAAGGGCCTTATACCCATGCTAAGGAACAGTGAGATCATAATAATGGGACCTCTGGGATCCATCAGCCCCACCCAGTTTTGTTGCAGATAAGGAAACTGAGACCCAGATTGCCTAATGATTTGACCAAAGTCACTCAGTTCCAAGAAATGAAACCTGCAGTCTTTAATGTATTGGCCAAAACTTGTTGGCTCTTTTCTAATATTGGTCCCTATTAGGATCTTTATATTTTTTGTTCCAAACATTGTCACAAAAAAGAAAACTTGTAGGTTAACTAGGTGTGGCATGCTGCCATGCATGGAAATGCCTAAATGGGAAGGAACTGGGCTGTGCAGCCACACCAGCTGGGGAGAAAGTGAGAGATCTAACCATATTTTGTTTGGTCTCTCTTCTGGTTGCCTATCAGCACTTAAGAGTCCACAACATACAAGTCAGTGCGATGACAGACCCTGTGTTGGACTCCCAGTCAGCCAACACAACTGGGGAGATGAATGGACTATGCCCTGAGCTACTGCTCGTCCCCCCACCCCTCTCTAACCCTGAAATCCTGGAGCCCATCCAGAGCCCCTGTCCTTCTGGAAACTCCACACCTTTGCCTGCTGACCCAGGCTGCCTGCTGGTAGAGGCCACAGCAACTGAAGAGGACACAGGGAACATGGAGATCATTGTGGAGGCAGTAGCTGGAAACCTGTCCCCAAGTGCTCCTGGAGAGACCTCAGGTACAAACACAGTTGCTAGCAGGCCAGTGGGATAAATAGCCCTGAGGTTTTATCTGTGCTGTTTTTGATCCATTTTTATAAATGTGATGAGAACACAAGGTAGCACCCTATTTTTGGACTTAGGGATGTTGTAATTTGATTTGCAGTTGGTCAATGTTGATTGAAAACTGGCGAGGTGGTGTACAACCTTGTACCAGGCTTGTGGGAGACTCTGTCCCTATGAGGGCCTCAGTGTCTGCTAGGCGGTAATCCACAAGAAAAGCCCTTTCTGACACCCCTGCCCAATCTTTACTCCTGTAGTCCTTGGGGATTCTTTCCACCATATTGACCCTCCTACCCAGAAACTGCAGCGAGGAATTAGGCAAAAAGGCCCAGCCTCTCTACCACCCTGGGTTTGGCAGGGCTTCCCAGAAGTCATCTGGTATTCTCCTGCCCTAGTTTCTCACGTATAACACACTTGTAACTCATCCACGGTATGTTGTTAAGAGTGGGAGTTAAACACCAATGTTTATGCTAGAAGAAAGTTCTCCCCTTTATTCTTCCTATATCTACAGCCTCTTATTTTTAGGTAACTTCCTTGTTTTTTAACTGCCATCTTCCAGAAACAGTTGCCACAACTTCCCTTGACAGTGTAGTACAATGACAAAGAAGACTGGGAAAACTTAGCTAATTTGATCATAAAACATTTCTAAACTTATATTGCTAAAAGAAAGAATTTAAAAAGAGAAAGAACCTGGGGAAAACATTTGAAGTGCATATAAGGAAAAGTTGATATTTTAAAAATTGAAGGAGTTCCATAATAAAAAAGAAACAGTATTTATTTAAGAGAAAAAGAAACCTATATGCAACTCACTAAAGAAATAAGTTATTAACCGTAAGGATGCATAATCTCACTAACACACAAATTCCAGTTAAAAATAGTTATGAAATGCCATTTTTGTTTCTCAACTCTGGCAAAAGTTAAACATTTTTATCCAACCTAGTGTTGGTGAGGTGGTGGGGAAACTATTTCATAGTTTATGGAGATTATAAATTAGCATAATCTTTTGAAGGTCAATTTATCTACATAATAAATATTAAAATAGGCATACTCTGACCCAATAATTCCACTTCAGGGATCTGCCTTTAGGAAGACTCATCCACATGCACAATGATAACAGGGATAAGGTGTGCAGGACAGCTTTATTGTAATTGGTGGTAACAACCCAAATGTCCATCAGTCAGGACAAAATTTCATTTTGATTTATCTATGCTCTAAAGTACAATAAACTAGACCAAAAAAATACAAGATAGATCTAAAGGTGCACCACACAGATTTAAAAAAAGAAAAGAAAAATCTGCTATGTAGCAAGTGAAAATAAAAAATGCAAATTATAGAAAAATGACCCAAAATGGCCTGAAAGGATATGGAGCAAACTGCAGGTGTGAGGGTGGTAGGTGGTTATCCTTTCTGTATATACTTACCTTTCATTTAATTTGTTGCACTAAATTTTTATTCAAACAAAAAATAATAAAGAGAAAAAAGACCACAGAATAAATGTAAGACAAACCTGGGCTTGAGTCATGGCTCCACCATAAATAAACATGGTGGCCTTCACCTCACAGAATTGTAAGTCCCTCTTCTCTTAGGAGTGGGGACCCAAGTGAGTGTTCCTAAGCCTTTTTTAAATCAAAGTCCTGCCCATTGCTTAAGAAAAGGCAGTGATTATGAACATGTTTTGGCTCTTTTCAAAAACAGTGTTCTCCATTTTATGAATTACTGTGCCTTTGAAACTCTCTTCACAGAATGTGAAAGTAACAATTTGTCATTTATATTGCATGTATTATCTCTAGATTGTCATTGTCTTCTTCTGAAAGTTTCTCATTTTTTATTTGGGCAAAATATATTGCCTTTTCTTAATGCTTTCTAGAGTTGATTAATGCTTGTTATATTTATCTAGCAAATATTTATTATGTACCTGTTTTGTGCCAAATACTGTGCTAGATACTGGGAATCCAAACACATGTGCAAGATAGTCACTGCCTTACAAGGTATTACAGTCCAGGTGTAGAACCTGACTTAAAGTCCATCTGCACTCCACAAATGTTAAAAGATTGGCCTATAGTTCTACTAGTAACTAACTCCTGTGAGTCTCATTCCATCTGATCCTGTGCCTTTCTGTCGGTCCTCTGCCTGCAGGTGTCCTGGTAAAGGTGGTGGAGGTATACTTCTGTGAGCGCTGTGAGCAAAGCTTTGCAGAGCCCACTCTGCTGGCCCTGCACCAGTGCACTGAGACCCTTATACAGCCTGTGCAGGGCCTTTCTAGCTCCCCAAGTTCTGTAGAGCTGCCCCCCAGCAACCTCACAGTCTCTGGCCCTCTACAGGGCCAGAGCCCACCAGATAGCACCCTGCCATGCCCTGTGTGTAGACAAGAATTTGCTCAACCCCAGGCCCTGAAGAGCCACTTCAAGATTCACCGGGGCACTCCTGGCACCTTCTCCTGCCCAGAGTCTGGCTGTGTGTTCTCCGCTGAAGATCGCAAGGGTCTGCAGCACCACCTGAGGCAGACCCACAGAGCCGTTCCTGTGCCCTGTTCTTTCCGGGGCTGCCCCCTGCTCTTTGGGAGTCAGCAGGGCATGGAGCTGCACCGGCAGACCCATTACCCTTTCCACTGCAACCACTGCAGCTTCATGGGCTCCAACATCAAACTCTTCCGGCAGCATCAACGGAGCCACGGGCCCAGGACGCAGGGAGAACTGTCTGCTGTGCCATGTCTTCCAGCCCAGGAGCTGCTGCCAGGTAGGAGATCAAGGGCCCAGCAGTCCCCTGCCTGGAATGCAGCCACAGTCAATGCTGTAGGAGACACAGTTCTTCCCAGTGCCATGAATGTGTGCATGAATGCAAGGGAAGGCAGAGTAGTGGTTCAAGAGGACAGAATTACTGGCTGACATAGGAAGGCATCTAACAACCTTAGACCAATCAGAATACATGGGACAAAAAGGAAGTTCTTTGTCCATGACTTGGCTTCAGCTACTCTGTCGACTTGAAGTTAGTTAACCAATATACTTTTCTGATCTGTTTCAGAATTTCCTGAGGGCAGAAGCTAAAATGCCCATCAGTGCTATAGCCACTGGAGGAATGCCTAGGGGCTCCCTTATGGAGCATTTGGGATTGGGCAGGAGAAGCTAAGGTTATTTTAAAAAGAAACTGCCAAGTGGGGAGGTGCCTAACTGAGTCTTACTCCTCTTGGTCTCAAAAAAGAGGGCAGGAGTGAGTAGAGGAGCAGGAGGAAATAGAGAAACCAGACCAGCAGAGGCCAGAATGCTGGTGAGAGAGTTTGGTTTGCTAAGACTCACTGGTGCTCTGTTCCCAAAGAGAAGAATCCTCTTTCCTGGAAATTGTCATATGTCTTTGCCTTACTGAGGCAATTGGCGCTATTGAAGGATAGAAGGGATGGATTTGAGGGTGTGATCCATAATTGCTGAGTTGGGCTTCTTAGTATAACAGTTTAGAGATCAGGATACATTCTTCTGCACTGAGTCATTAGCCCTGGGGACTTGAGCCAGGGCAGTGTAGTATATCCACTATCTACCTCTCAGCTCCCTACCCCCTCTCCAGTGACATCTAAGTTCATACTTTCAAGGGGTCTGAAGATGGTGTTATCTGAGGTTTGATTTCCTTTAGGCTGGAGCATTACTTATAGCTGTTGATCTTTGTGTCCTTGTCTTGAGTGGAAATAGATTTATATACTTAGAACCCAAGAGTCCCTTATGCTGAATGGGGATGGGGTTATTCTGCCAGCAAGAAGAGAGTACAAGTGTTCAGTGCTGTCGTTGGCTCTTGTGGACATCATCAAGTTTTATGTGCCTCCAGCTCCCAAACTGCCAGGGGAGGAAGAGTCTTCAGAGGAAGCAGGTACGTCCTTGCCTGGGCAGGAACCAGCTGAAGAGGAGGATGTAGAGGAAGAAGAGGGTGGCACCCTGAAGGACCCCCAGAGAGTCTTGGAGAAAGGCCAGGGCAGGTCTCAGCAGTTGGAAGGTAATGACATGATGAGGCTTGAACTTCTTGCTGGAGGGGAAGAGTGGATTGTGGCGAGCATGGCATCGAGGCTGTAGGGTTTTGTTTTCTGAACTTTGGTTCAGATTGTTTTGTTCTTAGTGTCCCACTTTGACATGTCTAGTGGGAAAGTGATAAATGGGTAAAGACTAGTAACACAGAGGAGAGGTAAATAGAGTCTGCTCTCCTGGACTGGTTTTCCTCAGGCAGAAAGCTCTTTTGCAGGGAAGGGGAGGGTATTTTCATAGTATAAAGACACCAGAGGTTATTGATGATCCTGTCTTGTCTGGCATTGAGCCCCTTAAGATTTTTTTTCTGAATCCTTGCTTCCCAATTTTCCAGTTCAGTACAATAACATTTGAAACCCAGCCCACAGGGAGTTCAAGGGAATAGAAAAGATCTGATTGTATTTGTTACCAGCTCTCTATGATCTAGACTTCAGTGACCTAGTGTTTGGAAGCAGGAATACCTTCTTCTCTTCCCTATGCTCACTCCCTGTGGGGTTCTTTTCCATCCAACCAACTCTGCTGAGCCTCCTGCCTATCCCCAGGAACAAGGGCAAGAAGAACAAGAATGCTCCATCCAGACAGCTGTTTGAGCAGCTCTAGACAAAGAACTCAGGAATAGTCAGTGGGTGGGTGGCTGTGTAAAGCACTTCACACAGGCCACAGTGATGTTGAGAAGTCCTTGTGATTTTGTTTCTCTAAACACTGGAATTTCTCATTTCTTTGAGACTACAGTGTTTGAGATACTATTGTTTGATTTCCTGGAGATAAAGGGGAAAGGCCATACAACGTTTGTTTGTGTTTAGGCAAACTGTGATTCTCCCATTATTTGGCCAGCCCCTGACCTATCTAAAAATCTTGCTGTCCACCCTCTTTGCCTCTCTCTCTCTCTCTCTCTCTCCCAGGGGATGTGGCTTCTGGCCCGGAGTCCCTCTTCAAGACCCACATGTGTCCAGAATGCAAGCGCTGCTTTAAGAAGCGGACCCATCTGGTAGAGCACCTACATCTCCACTTCCCAGACCCCAGCCTCCAGTGCCCCAACTGCCAGAAGTTCTTCACCAGTAAGAGCAAGCTCAAGACCCATCTGCTGCGAGAGCTGGGCCAGAAGGCCCACCGCTGCCCACTGTGCCACTACAGTGCAGTGGAGAGGAATGCACTCAACCGCCATATGGCCAGCATGCACGAAGACATCTCCAACTTCTACTCAGACACCTATGCCTGTCCTGTGTGCCATGAGGAATTCCGCCTCAGCCAGGCCCTTAAGGAACACCTCAAGAGCCACACGGCTGCGGCTGCAGCAGAGCCATTGTCCCTGCGCTGTTTCCAGGAAGGCTGCAGCTATGCCACACCTGACCGCAAGGCCTTTGTAAAGCACCTGAAGGAGACCCATGGGGTGCGGGCTGTGGAGTGCCGCCATCACTCGTGTCCCATGCTCTTTGCCACAGCAGAAGCCATGGAGGCTCACCACAAGAGCCACTATGCCTTCCACTGCCCCCACTGTGACTTCGCCTGCTCCAACAAGCACCTGTTTCGCAAGCACAAGAAGCAGGGCCACCCCGGCAGTGAAGAGCTGCGCTGCACCTTCTGCCCTTTCATCACCTTCAACCCTGTGGCCTACCAGGACCATGTGGGCAAGATGCATGCTCATGAGAAGATCCACCAGTGCCCTGAGTGCAGCTTTGCCACCGCCCACAAGAGGGTGCTCATCCGACACATGCTGCTACACACCGGTGAGGTCCTCCATCATGACTGCATGGTGGTGGTGATGGTGATGATGGCAGACACCATCAGACATACGAAGGGCTCTGCATACACGGTCTCACTTGACCTAGTATTCGTAGAGATCAATGTAGTATTTTCGTTTACAAATGAGCCTTAAGTTGAGTGTCCCTCGGCTAGTAAAGTGGTCAAGCTAAGTTTTGAATCCAGGTAGTCTGATCCAGGACCCGTGCTCTGACCACTGTGGTATTGTGCCCCACCCTTAAGGTCCCGTCCAGTAATGCCCACCCCTTGTCAGGCTTGAGCGGTCAACATCCAGCCTGTCAAAACGAAGAAACCTAGGCCAGGACAGATACCTTCCTTGGCAATTCACGTTTTGGGACATGCTGTGAGAGACTGGAATGGGAGAGGGGAAGGGGGACTGAGCCATTCATATGTGTTATAGCCTTGGCAGCCATGACACCGAAACATGATCGTGTCTGATGAACTGGGAGCTGTAAATATTTCCACTTAGATTCTTCATTGGTTCAGCACATTACCGATGCTGTGAGTGACAACCAAAGCAGGCTTCCTGCTGCATCATCCCATTTGTGATCTCTGTGTAATCATCTGTGGATTGACAAAACACTTAAAAAAGTCTCATCAAAAACTGTAGTTGGGTAGGACAGTTTTTAAGCAGCTTAGGGCAAAGCCATTGTTGTTCCCATTGAACAATTCATTTCTGTACATGCTTTAGTCATAAAATCTCATTTTCCTGAGGCCTTTCCTAAAGGCCTTAAGTCTATAGAGTGCTTTATAGTTTACAGAGCTTTTTCACTACATAGTATCTCATTTAATCCATAATAACAATCCTGTAAGGAAGACAGGTTTAGATGAGTAGCTGAAAATTTGAATGGCCTGATTCAGGATCACACAGCTAGTGTCAGAACTAGAGCCAGCACACAGCGTTGCTTGCCTTTAACCATAGAGAAAGGAGTGAGTGGGCTGGCAGGGATAACAGGGAAGGGTCCTGAGGGAACATGACCCCAGCTTCTTAGTGCCAGGTCTTGACCAGCTACATGGTCCTTGAGTTCTTGCTGAAACCACTGAGGGGTCTGGGACATCTCATTTAATCTTCATATCAACCACGTGAGGTCTCTCTTTAGAGACAAGGAGACTAAGACTTGGAGGGGTTAAGTGACCTGCCCAAGGCCACATAGTAGTAAGCTGGGATTTGAAACACCACTTAACAGCTTTGTAATTTCTCTGTGCCTCAGTTTCTTCCCTGTAAAATGGGGTTATCATAGCACCTTCCTCATAGGACTGTTGGGAGGATTAGGTAAGAGAGGGCATTTTTAGAAAGTGTTTGAAAAGGTGCCTGGCACATAGCATCATATAGAAGTTGGCTCTTAATATCTTTATTACTGCATGAACACCAGAGTCAGAGTTCTTAACCACTATGTTGTATTGTCTAATATTTTCTCTTTCTCTTCCACAAAACTGGAAGGAATTGGGCCAAGCAGAGCGGTTGTCTTTAGTCACATGCTTTTTTTTTTTTTTCTTTACTATTACAAGTTTATTATACAAGTTGCAGCTCAGGAGCAGCCAAACAGAAGAGATGCATGGGCAATGGATAGGAGAAGAGGTAGAATGCTCAGCCACACTCCCAGCACCTCTGTTCACCAACCCAGAAACTCTGCAAATGTCCAGCTCCCCTCCCCTCCCCTCCCTAAGGTGTAGAGGAGAGCTGTAAATTCCCACCCTTTAGATTGCTCTAGTGACCAGCCCCCACCCTGTGTCACTCATTAGCATAAATACCGATGTGGGCCAGAGGGGCTAGTTAAGAATGACAAGACATTCTTATCACTTAGGAAATCCCAAGGGTTTTAGGAGCTCATTGTCTGGAACCTGGGACAAAAACCAGATTGTTGGCCATTAGTGCCTACAAGTGCATAACCACCAAGCGTGGACTTCTGCACTAGTTTGGGGAAGCTCAGTCTTCCTTTTCCTCCCACCTCCGTTGGTGTGGGAGTGGCAGAGTAGCTGTCTGAGGGGGACTGTGAAGATCTGTTGTGATCTACCCCAGGTAGCACATGGGGCTTTTGCTCCTTCTTGGCCTCAGGGCAAGCTTGCTGGGGAAAATGGTTTGTCTGCTCACTCAGTCTGTGTTGACCTGTGTCCTCTTCCCTCTCTTGCCCACCCCAACATCCAACAAGGTGAGAAACCTCACAAGTGTGAGCTGTGCGACTTCACGTGCCGAGACGTGAGCTACCTATCCAAGCACATGCTGACCCACTCCAGCACCAAGGATTACATGTGCACCGAGTGTGGCTATGTCACCAAGTGGAAGCACTACCTCAGTGTGCACATGCGAAAACACGCAGGGGACCTCAGGTATGAGCACACACATGCCTCCATCCCTGTCCCCAGAACCTTATACTCAGCTAGCCTCCTCTTGAATTCAACTTGTGGCCCCATTGCTCTTCTGGCCCCAGAGAGATTCCTCCTAATGCCTCTCAGCCCCATTGCCTGGAGCTGGAATCTTTGCCTGTGGTCCAGTCTGCCTGGTGAGAGCCCTCTGGGCTCAGGGAAGGGACTATCGACCTGGAGTACATGCCTAGAGACTAAGGTGTCACTTGAGTTCTCAGAGTCCAGTCCTGGAAAAGTAGATTAGACTATACTTGTGGCCCTAATCCTGGCTACTTGCAAATCCAGGCAAGTCCCCCTCTGATCTATGGGCACAGCTGGTTACGGGGTTTCTCCTTAGCTTTCATGCCTCCATGGGAGAAGAGGAACTAGGCACAGAAACCTGCCCCTTAGGGCTGTAGCCATGTAAACTCCCTAAATGTCCACACTGAGTTACTGATTCATGATGTCTTCCCTTTAGGAAGCAATATGGAGTACGGCTTAGAACACAGGCCCTGAAGCTAGATTGCCTCTGGCCTTCACTTCCTTTGTAACACTAGGCACCTTACTAACTTCTGTGCTTTAAAGTCTCCTTACTGTAAAATGGGTACCTGTTTTGTAGGATTGTGTAAAAAAAGATTAGATTAGGTGATAAATGTACAATACTGAGTATATAGCCTGGTCCATAGTAAGTATGTATTTCCTGACTGTCGATTGTTATGATTGATTTATGACTGTGATTGCGCCCTCCCCTCCCCACCGCGCCCCTTTCCTCTTTGCCAGATACCAGTGCAACCAGTGCTCTTATCGCTGCCACCGGGCTGATCAGCTGAGTAGCCACAAGCTGCGGCATCAGGGCAAGTCCCTGATGTGTGAGGTGTGTGCCTTTGCTTGCAAGCGGAAGTACGAGCTGCAGAAGCACATGGCTTCTCAGCACCACCCTGGCTCGCCGGCCCCACTCTACCCCTGTCGCTACTGTAGCTACCAGAGCCGCCATAAGCAGGCCCTGCTGAGCCACGAGAACTGCAAACACACCCATCTTCGGGAGTTCCGCTGCGCTCTCTGCGATTACCGCACCTTCAGCAATACCACTCTCTTCTTCCACAAGCGCAAGGCCCATGGCTATGTGCCTGGGGACCAGGTCTGGCAGCTCCGCCATGGCAGCCAGGTGCCAGAGGGGGCCAGGCAGTGCCCGACACCCCCACCAGACTCAGAACCCTCAAGCCATCTGTCTGCCCAGCCTGAAGGGTCAGACCACGACCCTGGGACTAGAGTGGATCCCAGTTTGGACCAGGGCCTGCCAGAGACCTGTGAGGACAGCGCTGGAAGAGAGGATGGCAGTGAGGTTCCCCAGGGGGTTGGCCTGGTTGGCAGCCCCAGGCCAGCAGAAGTAGATGAGGGCGGCTGCACTCTACACCTCGAGGCCCTGGGTGTAGAGCTGGAACCAGTGGCTGAGCAACCTCTTGAGACTGCTGAAGCAGCCCCTGTGGAGTTCAGGCCCCTGGATGCTTCAGGTCCCCTGAGACTGCAAGGGCCAGATGGACCTTTGGCAGAACTGTCTACCTTTGAAGGTGCTGGGACTTCTGGCCTGAGTACTGAAGAAGAGCCCATTCTGGAAAAGCCTGTTCCTGAGACCCTCAGAAATCCCCCTTCCTCAGAGGACCCCCCTAACAAGTTGGAGGGAACTGTCAAGGCAACTCCATCCACTGAGACAGCACCCCTGCTCCAATTCCCTGAGTCAGAGTCTTTACTCAAGGCCCTAAGGAGGCAGGACAAAGAACAGGCTGAGGCGCTAGTACTGGAAGGGCGGGTTCAGATGGTAGTGATACAGGGAGAGGGGCGGGCCTTCAGCTGCCCACACTGCCCTTTCATTACCCGCCGGGAGAAGGCCTTGAGCCTGCACTCCAGGACTGGGTGCCAGGGCCACCAGGGGCCCCTGCTGTGCCCCGAATGTGGGGCTGGCTTCAAGCAACAGCGTGGCCTTAGCACCCACCTGCTGAAGAAGTGCCCTGTTCTGCTCAGAAAGAACAAGGTCTTGTCCAGGTCAGATTCCTCTGTCCATCTGTATCCTCTTCCCCCAGGCAGCCAGGCCGCAGAAGATGCCAAAGGGGGTAAGCCCTCACCTACCCCATTAGAAGTAGAGCTAGTGCTCCCAAAAGATGCTCCTTCTGAGCTTCCTAGGGAGCCAGAAGAAATAGAGGAGCCTCTTGCCACACTCTCTGGCTCCTCAGTCCCTCCTTCAGGAAACTCCTTACCCACAGAGACCCCTGAAAAGTTCCACTTTGAGCAGGGCAAGTTTCACTGCAACTCGTGCATGTTCCTTTGTTCCCGGCTCTCCTCCATTACCTCTCATGTGGCTGAAGGCTGCCGGGGGGCACGTAGTGTGGGGGTAAAGCGAGGGGCTTCTCAGACCCAGCCTGTTCCATCCCTGCAGAGCAGTGTGGACTCTGCCCCCCTAAACAACGGGAATACGGAGTGCAGCCCTGGTGATGGGGTCACAGCTCTGGTTCCAAAGCAGAAGGGGGCTCGCTTCTCCTGCCCGACATGTCCCTTTAGCTGCCAGCAGGAACGTGCCCTGAGGACTCACCAGACCCGTGGCTGCCCCCTTGAAGAGTCTGGAGAGCTGCACTGTGGCCTCTGCCCATTCACCGCCTCTGTGGCTGCTGCCCTGAGGCTCCACCAGAAGCGGAGGCACTCCACCATAGCCCCAGCCCGAGGCCCCCGACCTCCCCTTCAGTGTGGGGATTGTGGCTTCACCTGTAAACAGAACCGGTGCCTACAGCAGCACCGGCGACTCAAGCACGAGGGAGTGAAGCCACATCAGTGCCCTTTCTGTGACTTTTCCACCACCAGACGGTATCGGTTGGAGGCTCATCAGTCCCGACATACAGGTGTTGGCCGCATTCCCTGTAGCTCCTGTCCTCAGACATTTGGTACCAACTCCAAACTGCGCTTGCACCAGCTCAGGGTACATGACAAAACACCCACCCACTTCTGTCCACTCTGTGACTACAGTGGTTACCTTCGTCACGACATCACTCGCCATGTCAACAGCTGCCACCAGGGTACGCCAGCCTTTGCCTGTCCCCAGTGTGAGGCCCAGTTCAGCTCAGAGACAGCACTCAAGCAGCATGCTCTGCGTCGGCACCCTGCGCCTACACCCCCAGCCCCTGGCTCTCCTGTGGAGGCCACTGAGAGCCCCTTGCACTGCTCCCACTGTGGGCTGCTGTGTGCCAGCCCTGCGAGCCTGCGAGGACACACCCGTAAACAGCACCCACGCCTCGAGTGTGGGGCCTGCCAGGAGGCCTTCCCTAGCCGGCCAGCCCTGGACGAGCACCGGAGGCAGCAGCATTTCAGCCACCGCTGCCAGCTCTGTGACTTTGCTGCCCGGGAGCGGGTGGGCCTGGTGAAGCACTACTTGGAGCAGCATGAGGGGGCTTCAGCAGTGGCAGCAACCTCACACAAGGATGGGGGTGCCGGCCAGCCCCCTTTGCACTGCCCTTTTTGTGACTTTGCATGCCACCATCAGCTGGTGCTGGATCACCATGTGAAGGGGCATGGGGGCACCCGGCTCTACAAGTGTACTGATTGTGCTTACAGTACCAAGAACCGGCAGAAGATCACCTGGCACAGCCGCATCCACACGGGGGAAAAGCCCTACCGTTGTCACCTCTGTCCTTACGCTTGTGCTGACCCCTCTCGCCTCAAGGTAAGGTCAGAGGCCACAGGGGCCAGGAATGAAAGGAGTACAGGTTGTGGAGGAAATTACCTGGGTTCTCTAATCCCAACTCTCTGATCTTTATCAAGTTCCTTAACTTCTCGAAGCCCCAGATTTCTCATCTGTAAAAGGGAAATAAATCGTTCACAAGGTTGTTGCAAGATAAAATTCCATAATACATGCTTGACATGATAAAGGCATGTGATTGGTTGGGGATAAGCTAGATAATAACATCTTAGGTTTTTTGAGCACTTACTATATGCTGAGCACTAAAACTTTAATCCTTTCAAAAATATGAGACATAGTTACTACTTCCCATTTTACAGGTTAATAAACAGAATTAGGGGTTTAAGTAATAATGGCAGAGCTGAGCTAGTCAGGACAGACCTAGGGGTAGACCCAATGGGTTAGGTTGGTGTCAAAGCAGCCAGACTGGGAGACCTACCAGTAATGGGAGTATGGATGAGATCGTAGCAAGGAACAGGGTTGTCTGCCAACAGTTCCTCTGCCTGCTTCCTCTATTTCCACATCACTGGTACCAAGGGGTGCACATTTTCTAGGCATACTCTTTGCTCTTCCCTCCTCTAGTACCATATGCGGATCCATAAGGAGGAACGGAAGTATCTGTGCCCTGACTGTGGCTACAAGTGCAAGTGGGTGAACCAGCTCAAGTACCACATGACCAAGCACACAGGTGAGTCTCTGTGGTTATGACAGGCCCAAGGGGTTACCCCATTCTCTGGGACACCCAGCATCCTTGAAGTATGGTGTATGTCCTTACTCAGATTTAGGGCGCACATCAGTTATCTCACTGGCGTTAGGAGTTTGGCCAAATGGCCAGAACAGCTTCCCAAACTACTGAAGACCTGTCAGAATCACAAGATGTGAACCTGAGAGTCTGGGCATATGCACTTTGCCAAAGCTTCCCAGGTGATTGTGGCACAAGGTCACCCACCTCCCACCAAGAAAACGCCGCGACTCAAGCATGAGTGCCTGAGGGCCCATCAGCCTGGTTCCTGCAGACAGGATGGCACCAACGATGAGTAGAGGAGAAAGTGGAGGTTTCACCTGTTTTAATTTACCTTTTCTTTCCCCCGGGGTTGGAGTCCACGAACTGTGAGTTCTCAGAAAAGGGTCAATGATATTATGCCTGTAATTATCACATATGATCCCCCTACATAAAGGAATTAATCAGGTGCATTTCAAGGCTTTCTGTGTCTATGAATGCTGCTGCTTTCACCTCTACCCCTTCTCTTTCAAGCATTTTCTTTTATTTCTTAAGTTGAATGAGGAGTTGTATTTAATTGGATTCCCAAGTACCATGAGTATCCCATGACCAAAAGGGGGTTAGAATTGCCTATTCGGAAACCTTGTCATATTTGAGTGTTCATTGCTGTCAAGAAGCTACTAAGGGGTCCAGTTAGTTATCAGCATCCATTGAGCACCCCATTGTATACAAGAGGCTGTGTTGGGAGAGCATATCAGGTAAGACTGGAACATTCCAAAGACATGGTCCTAAGTCAGCTAGCTGCTTGTGTTCTTTATGCCCAGGATCCCAGTGACTCTTATGGTCCACTGAACCTGTTCCACCCCTGCTAGTGGTGGTATGTTCCCTGTCCTTGCCCTGTCCTACAGGACTGAAGCCATACCAGTGTTCTGAGTGTGAGTACTGCACCAACCGGGCTGATGCCCTGCGTGTGCACCAGGAGACGCGGCACCGGGAAGCACGGACCTTCATGTGTGAGCAGTGTGGCAAGGCCTTCAAGACACGCTTCCTGCTGCGCACTCACCTCCGCAAGCACAGTGAGGCCAAGCCCTACGTGTGCAACGTGTGCCACCGTGCTTTCCGCTGGGCTGCCGGCCTGCGCCATCACGCCCTCACCCACACCGACCGCCACCCCTTCTTCTGCCGCCTCTGCAGCTACAAGGCCAAGCAGAAATTCCAGGTGGTCAAGCACGTGCGCCGGCACCACCCTGACCAAGCTGACCCAAATCAAGGTGTGGGCAAAGACCCCAGCACCCCGACAGTGCATCTGCACGACGTGCAGTTGGAGGAGCTCAGCCCTCCCACTCGTGTTGCTCCCCAAACTGGACCTGAGGGCTGAGAGCCTCCCACGCCTCCCACAAACGAGGCACAGACTGGGACCAGAGCTAGCCTGAGGAGTTCAGGGCCTGGGAAGAGCTGCCTTTGGGGTATCAGGGTGGCTGGAATCCCCCTGGGACTCTGGCTATAGTACTTTGAAATTTAGAGTATATAAAAGAGAAATGTGGACCACAATTGAGTTCTTGTTGAGGCACAGTTTTTAACCTGTGAGTTCCTAGTGTTCTTCACCACCACTCTGACTCCCTGCTGTAAGATCTTGGTTTTACCCATTCTGTCTTCTCTTTCCCTCCTATCAAGTCCTGTTTTCTTCATCATCCTTGAAACAGTTGTATCTAACTGCATGTGCTGTTGTGTCTAATGCTCTATAAAGCATGTTAAATAGATGATTACTAGCTTATGGACTCGTTCAAGTCCGTCATAATGTTTCCAAGCTGTCATCTCGATCTGCCCTGTCCCCTCTCAGACCTCTACCTCTCCTTTGTCACCCTCCATAGTCACCAAATGACTGATTCTGAAACAGGCTGGGGTCTGCCTCTCTGTCCTGAGCCTGTCTTGGCCCTTGCCCTGCTTCCTATTCCTAGTCCCCATTGTCTGCCTATAGAGTGAGGATTGCCACCCACAAAGCCTCCTCCTGGAAGCAGCTTTAATTCAGCACCAATCCTTAGACTGGCTCAGCAGTCTGAATCAAAGAGTTAAAGCACAAAGATAGTGTGAAACGCAGATGATTGGGGAGGTAAGCCTCTAATCCAAAATTCTATGAGTGCCTCAGACTGACTGCATAATTAAACTGGGACACACTGGGAAAATTAAAGGGTACTGGTAATAATTATGCCAGGACAGCATAAACCAGGACTAGTCTGTGCAGAGTCTTCGGAGGGCTGGGGTCTTTGTCTCTTTGTCTTCCTTCTTTGTCTCTTACTTCTCAGTCCCTTAGAAGCTGTACTTATGTACCTTTCCTATGTAGCACATGCAGGGCGTTCCCTGGAAACCTGTTTTCCCTTTGCCTACTGGACCTGTCTACCCAAATGTCCCCCAACCCTTATACTTTCCTTCTTACACAACAATGACAGACCATACTGAAGCCAACTTGGGGAGAGAAGCTCTATTTTACTGGTGGGCTTATAGAGGAGCAGTCCAGTGCCATGTTCTCTGGAGAGTCATAGTAGTACTGGGGTCAGATCTCCTTCCTCAGTCTGTCTGGGGAGCCTTGAGACTTGATTTATCCTTCCATAAATCAAGGCTCTGGGTTTTGAGGAAGTTGGGAGTGGAGGGGTTAATGCCTCTTTGGGTTTCTCTGCTCCAAGCCTCTCTGGATTTCCAGTTGCAATCTGCCTTTGAGCCAGAGTTGATGGGAGAGATTAGTTCTAGATCTGGGTTTGCAATTAAGCCTACAGCAAGAAGGAAGTCCAATACAGAATGTGCAAAAGGAAAGAATAGGAAAGACTTGTACAAATGAAGAAAAGAAAGAGAAGATGAAAGAAAAATCAGGTTCTAGATTTGCTTGTTAGGAAGGGTGAGATAATTTTGTGACTGGGAATGCACAATCCAAAGCTTGGTTTTCACCTCTGCCTGCTTTCTGGAGGATCCTTCCAGGTTTTACAATGTCAAGCCAGTGCCCCCACCCCTCCCATGAATTGCTCAAGTTAGGATTCGTCCACCTCCAGCCCTTCTTGGGTGCTGATGTGCACGAAGATGGAAGCTGGATGGAGGCTGGTGCCATCCTTGGAGAGCAGGTGTATGTGGCGGTAACCTGGAAAGGGGTAGGAGAGCCGTGTTAGGAAGGCAGCCACTGTGGGGTGTTGGCCAGGGGTCAAAGAACTGGCTCACCTTGTTGCATGCAGGTCCAAGGTAGGGTGTACTGGCCAATGAAGTCATTTCGGGACTTCCAGTTGTAATCCTTTACCACAAACCGCAGCAGGGCCAATTCAGGTACCAGGACCCGGAAGCACAGTGACTGCCCCCAGTACGGATTAAAACCTGAAGTGGGGGGGTGATTGAAGGAACAGATATTGGTGACTTTTCTTTAGGCCCATGCTGGGTTGCTTTCCCTGTATTCTCTCACTTAATTTTCACAGCATTTTACAGGTAAGGAAATTGAGACTCAGAATGGGTAAGGAATTTGCCCAGGTCACTAGAACTTGTAAGTGAGGGGCCAGACCCAAGACGTCCAAGTCCTGCTTTGTCCTGTCCCACACCGCCCACTGGAGGTTACAGAGACTATACCTAATGGAGGGCAGGATGGTGGAAAACAATGGTCCTGTTCCTCCACCTGCCCCCAGCACAGCCAGTCTCACCGTTGTTCTCCACGTAGCTGGTCTCTTGCCGGGTTGTGTCTGGGCGGATCCCGAAGATCTCCACTCTCACCAGTGGATCCACAATGGATCGCTCTTTGGTACTGTCCTCTTTGGGGAGTTGCTGACCACTGATCACCTGCAACCAGGGCTCTGGAACCTCACCAGTTCCTGCTCAGCCCTGCCCCCTTCCAGCTTTCACACCCCCAGGAAGGGGAGAAGGAACCAGGACCTGGCTCTATAGCTTTTGAGTTTGCAAAACTAATCTTGCATGGGTAGTACATTGTTTTCTAGTAATCTATCTGCAATTTAAAATGCATCCAAGTAGAAATTTAACAAGGTTTGAAAGTATGTTAATGTCAGTAACCCCTTTATAGCACTTATACTCTTCACCAGGCATTGTTTCAGCACTTCATATTAAGTAATCACAACACTGTGAGGTAGGTAGTATTACACCCATGGTGCAAGTAAGGAGACTGAGGTTAAGGAACTTAATGTCACACAATTAGCAATTGGGTTTGAACCTAGGCAACTGGCTCCAAAGTCCGTGCTGTTAAGGATCAGGCTAGCCTGCCCTCATCAGGAATCCTTCAGCCTTACCCTCCTGTCAGGCCCAGCCACCTCTTCCCGCTCTTATCCCAGCTATCCCAGTCTCTTCCCAATGGTTTTCCTTTCCATTGTACCTGGATTAGGAGTGTCTGCGCTTTGAAAGGGCTGATGGGCTTCTCGGGGTGGAAGGAACTCTGGGCATCACGCAGGAAGTCTGGCTTCAGCACGTAGCCACAGCCCCCGTTCTGATGGAAGAACCCATCACAGATGTCCATCTCCAGCCCTGCAGTCTGCATGTTCATAGCCACTGGGCCACAGGAGGAAAAGGGGAAGGGGTCATCTTGGGGACTATCCAGCCCCTCTTTCAGGGAATTAAGAAGACATGTTGGGTGTAAAAGGGCCTGCTGGGAATTCTTCCATAGATGCCATCCCTTCTCAGCCTGGCACTGGGGATTTAACTTCTCACCTATTGATCTTCCACCCCCTCTCCCTTGTCCCTGCTGCCCCCTCACCCATCTGGCAGCCAGCATTCCAGAGTTCCTGGGGGTTGTAGTTGGATGAATCTGTCCTCAGGCCACTGGGATACACACGGCTCAACTGCCAGGTGTTGTGCTGCACAAACTCATTGCCTGTAGAAAGGGTGTAGAGAGAGAGGGGGAAGTGGGTGGGTCCTCCCCCTCCCTTGTGTTCCTAGGATGGACCCTGCCCACACACTTCGCTCTTCTCCCCTGCACCTCCTGACGCTGACTCCAGAAAGCTTCGTGGTGCCTCTCTGTTCCATCCAGGTCATCTCCCCCAGCTTTCTTCCCCTAGAGCCTTGAACCCATCATTTGTAACTCCTGTCCCCGTCCCTGCTCTGAGGACTTTCTTTACTCTCATCCAACCCTCCTTAGCGACCTTGCCCTCTTTCTTAGGACGCACTGCCGGCTTGTCAGGCCTGACCCTACCCATCCCAGTTCCCTCCCTGTCCTTCTCTTTTGGTCCTGACCAGCCTCCTTGATCAGGCTCCTGGCCTTGGTTTCAGAGAAAGACGATATCTCATAGAAGTGGTAGTGCTCCCTTGAATGAGCGAAGCTGTAGAATGAGACAGACTTCAAGTAGACAACCAGGGCAGAGAGGGATGGACACAAGATAGGCTTGGATTTCTGGAAAAGGCCAAAGAGAGGAAGATGGAATTGAACTCTTAGCAATCTGAGAGGTAAGCCAATGGCCAAGATCTAAACTTCACCCAATCTATGCCTCTCCCCACTGCCTCCCCACTGCATTCTCCCTCCTGCCTCACCTGCTTGGGAAAGAGAAGGAACCCAGGCTTGGAAATAGGAGCCTGAGCCATAACCTGACAACAGATAGGCGGACAAAACAGCAGGCACATCACAACCTGGGGATGGGAACGGGAATAAAGGCAGTCTACGTATACTGATGGGATCAGTTCCAGCCTCTGGGCTTAAAGGGTCTGCTCTATGTTACTTTCTGGGTAACAGGTTTTTAATTTATTATTACTTTTAAATAGGTGTCATCTTCCGTACTTCTCATATTTTAAAACAAATTGACAATAATTTTTGGTCAAAATGTACATGAACCCAGACAGATATGTCAAGGTATGCAAATAGTCATGGAAGTCACACTTGGAAGGATGTAAGGTGCTCAGAATAGTATCTTTAGATTTGTCTCCTGAAATCCCATTTCCATCCCTGTACATGACAGCAGGTGAGATACCACAGCCCCAGAGAGAACAGGATAAGCTAGAAGTCAGCTGAGCCAAGCAAGTGCACAAGAAGAGAAATGCAGGCTTAAAATCAGGATCTTGGTGGTCCCCCCAGTGGTGCCCCTTCCCCTCAAGGACATGGACTACACTGACACAACATTCTCAGAGCCTTCGCCTTCCCTAACTTTTCCTGCTCCTCTGTGGCTATTTCTGGCCCCTCCTCAGACTCACCCTTCCCAAGAAGCTTTCTCTAACTAAGCCCACTTTAGTTGAGGTCACAGCAGTCACTCCAGTAAGCCCTACTTACTCCATATAATAATGCTGCACACACACACCCATCAGTGGTTTTCAGACTGGCCTTTAAGGAGACTAAGTATAAAAATGTCTCAGGAGTCACTTGGGGGGACCCAGGAGAGAGCCAAATGGGTCTTCAACTAGGATAGCTCTGTGTCTCTCTACTGAGCGCATATTTAAGATTTCATTCAAAAAGTTTCATGGCCCAAAGAAGCTGGAAAGCCACTGCAGTATTTCTATATATGGCAGTGTATAGTGATGTCGTGCATGCATTCTTAAGCCTCTTTCACTGGGAACATTTTGCTCCTTGGCCTTCCACCCTGCCTGGCTCTAGTCTCTTCTCATGTGGACTCTGAGCTTATGGTACAGACTAACCAAATGCCAAAGCAGAAAGACCACCCTCCTGGTCTACCTTCTCCTTTTCGTCCTTATTACAGGGGCTCAGCTCCTGGGGCTCAGACTCAAACTGGGCATCCAACTCCAGCTCAACCTCCTGCTCTGCTTCCAGTTCAGACTCTAGAGCTTCCTCTTCTTCAAGCTCCTCAAGCATCCTTAACTTCTTCCCCTTTACCAGGATCTTCCTCCGAAGTGCCTTGGGGACACAAAATGAAGGGACCTGTCTGCTCTGGGACTCTTCTGGGTCCCATTGCTCTCACAGGGCCACCTCAACACAAAAGAAGTGAGTGGTCACGAGTTCCCACAGGAAGGCTGCTGGACACATGCAGTAGAGATTCCCTATTGTTAAGCAAACTTATAATATCACTATCTGTATGGAAAACAATGGTGACTCCCTACCTCAAATGTGACACATAGAGTCCTCGAAGATTAAAGGTTTACATGTAAATATAAAGAATATAAGTATTAGAAGAAAATAAAGAATTAAAAAAAACAATCTTAAGGTAGGAAAGCATTTAGAAACACGAGATGAAAACTCAGAAGACAAAAATGATTGGCAGATTTGAGTACACAAAGCTTAAAAAACCTCTATAAGGCAAAAGACACTGTAAGGCAAGAAAAAAGACTGCAAAAAAATTTTTCCAAAGCATTAGTAGCCTTAACATTAAAAAAATTATTATGTATCAGTAAAAATTAAAAGTCTAATAAAAGTGGGTAAATATTACCAATTAATTCAAAAGAAGACAGACCTTTCTTTTTGAAAAACTAGACTTTTCTTTTGTATCTTTGCCATTATGCATCAACTTGCTACTGCAGTTAGTTGTGGTTACTCTCTTACATGCTGGCTGGAGCGCAATCTGGCGCATTTTTCCCAGAGGGCAACTTGGCAATAACCAAAATGCCAACATGCAAACTCTTCAACCCAGAAATTTTGCTTCTAGGAATCCATCTCAAAGAAAGAGTAAGCTACACATACAAGTGAAAAATTCTCAATAACCTAAATGCTCACCATTTACTGCTTATGTTTACCATCTGACTGGTAGAATAAATTATGGTCCATAACATAAAGTAGAATACCACAGAGCTGTTAAGAAGGAAAGATTATACATGAAGAGACATCTATGATGTATCTTACATGTGAGATATAAAAGGGATATAGAGGATGATACCATTCATCTTTGTAAAAATGTGAATATATATACACACAGATGTTTATATAATCACTTAAAACATCTATGTCAGCTGTTTGGGGAGAGGCTGAGATTATGATGGGGGGGATTTCCCTTTCTATACATTGTTTGTAGAGTCTGCAACAATTATGAACTATCAGGAAAAAAATTAAGACTTTCCCCAAAACAAAAAAAATACAAAGTAAATAACTGACCTAAAATTTAAAGAACTATAAATAGAATTCTGTGCTCAATTTGATTTTTTGAAAATTAAAGCTGACTCCAAGGATATGAAAGGGCACGATGGTCCTTCTAAGGGTGAAAAGGAGGGAACAAGAAGGGCATGAAGGAGGAGCCAAGGTGGGGCCTATGAACAGCCACAGTAGAACCTGCGCTGGGGGAGCAGGGTCCTACCTCAGGCGAGGGCAGCTGCATGGGCAGCAGTCCATCCAAAGTGGCGCTCAGCAGCTTCTCGCCCAGGATCTCCGTCAGATGGTGTGCCATGACCTGCTGCTGCTCCCAGCTGCAGTGGTTCTCCAGGGACAAGATGACTGGGTAGTCTGATGTCTGATGGGGAGGAGAGAGGCACTGGAGCCAGATTCTAAAGCCTGTAACCTTCTTGCTTCTCCAGGCCCCCCAGTCACTCACTCAACTGAGTACCCTAATTGCTAGACTCCTCCAACCACATTCCAGACCTCAAGGAGGTCTTGCTGGGCCTGCAGCCCACCCCACATTGAAAAGTCACTTTTGGGACCTCAAATCTCAAACCCGTGCCAAGTCTGACCCAGATCCCTCTGGGACCTTAGAGTTTTCAGGCTCAGAGTGGGAAGGCCAGGCCATTCTCTGGTTACCTGTTCACGGTCTACTCCCAGGCTTTCCTCTTCAGGTTCCTGTTGTCCCCCAGCCCCACCCAGCCCTTTCTCCTTTCCTTTCTCCACCCCCTCCCAAATGAGTGACAGAAGTTGTTAAAAGCATAGTTACTAGTTTCGTGCAAGTTCCTCTGACTACTAATTAGTAACACATCTAACTTATTCAGAATAGCCCCTTAATATTTGTCTGATGCTTCACAGCTAAAATCTTTTACATATATGCCATTTGATACGACCTCCCCTGTGCCTGTTCCTTTCCCAGACCCAGAGCCAGGCACTCTTTCTTCTGATCCTCTCGCCTCACTAGTGTTGCCATCTTGGGGTTCCTACCTGGAAGGCATATTGTGCTACAGTGGCCATGACATCTTTGAACAGGATGCGGGAGGTCAGGGTGTGTCCATGGTAAACGATAGGTTCCCCACTAGGTCCATCCCATATATCCACTTCCACACAGCGGCACCCCCTCTTCAGTGCCCTGCAAGAACAACAACCCCCAGGGACAGGAGGGCTCAAGGTCTGCTCTTCCACCCACGGACCCTCTCCCCACCTCTGGAGAGAACAGTGCTCACTGGCACTGGACCCTGCTGCAGCTCACACTGATCTCCACCCCCTACCCGACCCAACTCAGCCTTTCCTTAGCAGGCCCTCACATGCTTCACGATGCTTCCTGGGCTGGCTGTATATCATTACACAACACCTGAGTTCTTCAAACTCTTAGTAAATTTACACTTTATTTTCTCTACTAGACATCCTAGGGCAGAAACTATATGTTCCACTCATCTTTGTATGCCTTGAAGCTACTACCCAGTTGCTGGCACTACAAAGATATCTTGACAATTCCATCTAATCCATGATTAATCACAATAAAAACAGGTACATTTATTAGCTATTGACATATGGATTGTCTCATTTGATTCTCACAACAATCCATACTGAACAGGCACTCTTATCATCCCATTTCACTGTTAGGGAAACTGAGGCATAGAGAGGTTAAATACTTAGCCCCAGAATACCAAGTCAGAGAGCTAGGATTTGACCTCAAATAGTCTGACTCCAGAACCTATGTTTGTAACTCCTATGCTCTACTGCCTTCCATTTTAACATTTAGTTTATTTGTTCTAAATAAATCTTTCAGGACCTGAGTTCCAAGAGAGTTTTATAGCCTATGAAAAGAGAAAAGCTCTATTTACCCACCGGGTTTCACCACCACCCTCCTGCCAGATTTCATTACCTCTTCAAGTCTCTCAGGTGTCCAGGCTCCTCAGCCACAACCCCCTGACATCTTCCTCTGTTATCCACTGACCTTGCCCTCAATTTCCCACAGACAGTCCTTTCTCATGAGCTGGACTCCTTCCCCCCAGCTCCCCACAGCACCTTATATATCCCTCAATGCTGCTCTGGCCACAAAGCTGGTCTCCCACTAGGTAGGTGTTATGAGAGGAGTTGATGTAGTAGTGGCTCAGGGGTTGAGTCATATCCTGGTAGATGGGGAGGCAGGCCGGGTTGAAGATGTCTCCATCCTTTGAGCAGAGGTAGCTGAGGAAGCCATCTTTGCTCAGCACATGTCGCAGCTTGCCTGGGGTGTGGAGTCAGGAAACACTAGAGTGAGAAGCTCTGAGAGAAAGCACCCCAGCACACCTAAGCCTATCCACCACCCCACCCTTCCAGGGCCCTGCCTTTCAGATGGTGTCTGTTCCCAGCCTCCAGATCCCAAACCTGCTGCACCCAGTGTCTGTCATTTCACTCATCCCCATGCTCAGATAATGTAAAAGCTACAAGGGGAATCATTAAGATCATTCTAACTCAGTGCTAACCAGTAGAACTTTCTACAATAATGGAAATGTTATATTCTGCACTGTCCAATATTATAGCCTCTAGACATAGATGGCTACTGAGCACTTGAAATGTGGCTATTGTGAATGAGGAACTGAATTTAAAATTTTAATTTGAGTTAATTTAAGTTTAAATAGTCACATGGAGCTCATGGCTAACCACAGTGGATACCACAGTGTTCAGACCAAAAGGCTAATTTTATAGATGGGGAAACAGGCCCAGAGAGAATCAAAATCAAACACTTGTTACTCAGGAAAACAATTCCATTCACAATTGCATCAAAAAGAATAAAATACCTAAGAATAAACCTAACCAAGGAAGTGAAAGACCTATACCCTGAAAACTATAAGACACTCTTAAGAGAAATTAAAGAGGACATTAACAAATAGAAATTCATCCCATGCTCTTGAGTAGGAAGAATTAATATTGTCAAAATAGCCAACCTGCCTAAAGCAATCTACAGATTCAATGCAATCCCTATCAAAATAACAACAACATTCTTCAATAAACTGGAACAAATAGTTCTAAAATTCATATGGAACCACAAAAGACCCTGAATAGCCAAAGCAATCCTGAGAAGTAAGAGTAAAGCAGGGGGCATCTTGCTTTCCAACTTCAAGCTCTACTACAAAGCCACAATAATCAAGACAATTTGGTACCGGCACAAGAAGAGACTCAAAGACCAGTGGAACAGAATAAAGAGTCCAGATATTAACCCAAACATATATAGTCAATTAATATACAATAAAGGAGCCATGGATATACAATGGGGAAATGACAGCCTTTTCAACAACTGGTGTTGGCAAAACTGGACAGCTACATGTAAGAGAGTGAAACTGTATTATTGTCTAACCCCATACACAAAAGTAAACTTGAAATGGAACAAAGACCTGAATGTAAGTCATGAAACCATAAAACTCTTAGAAAAAAACATAGGCAAAAATCTCTTGGACATAAACATGAGCAACTTCTTCATGAATATATCTCCCCGGGCAAGGGAATCAAAAGCAAAAATG